CATCGCCCATCAACTCGTATCAGCTCTCGCCTGCAGCCAACTGCTTCAACGGCCGCAGTCGTTCGTTTCGCCCCGAGTGCAACGCCAGAAAGGGAACACCCCCACGAACAAAGAAAGGCCATAGACCTCATCGCAAACACACTCACATACACCCTTCGCAACATCACCATCGTCGCCTCCTCTCACACCCTCGTTTCTGCATCCTGTCGTGCCCCGCCCACCGTGCCCGTTATAGACAGAATCCGGCCACCAAACCTCCAACGCCATCTCAGGCTTGTGGCTCGCTCACATCGCGAGCACATAAACAGACAGCCCGCAGTCGTTTGCAACTCCACTCTTGTAAAAGGTGGTTACAAGAGTGGCTTCTCTACTCCTCGCATCCTCTCCTGTCCATCTCCGACGCCAGTCTCCCATCCAACCAGACTGGCTGTTGCTTGTGTCACGGACAAGACTTGTGCAGCACATCCAACCTCAGCACGACCACCCGGCCAACGCCTCGGAGGAGCAGGTGGCAGGGATCCGTCTTGTTGTTCTCTGCTGCCTTCGTCCTGCAGCTGTGCTGTCCGTATCTGCACGTCCCAGTCCACAGGCGGTACATCATAAAAGATCCGCCTTCCTGGGTTCTGCAACCGAGCGTCTTCCCTTTTCTCTCTGTCCTCTCTTTTCCGTCTTCCGCATCCTCTCGCCTTCTTGTCATAATATCTCTGATATGGCTCGGCACACTTGCCCGGAACCTTGACCAGTGATTGTTAAGACGGAACAAAACGAACCAAAACAAAACATCCCTCAGACACACGTCGAAACAAGATGTCCTTCCGCGAGAGACGGCGGTCCACGCCACTGCCCGCCGCCTCCGAACCCACCGTCGACTTCCAGTCTGCCACCGAGGCCATGCAGCGTGCCGCCGACGCCATGATTGCCGCCACCGAGTCGTTCCGCCAGCAATTTCACCAGCAGGACATAAACACCACCGGCCAGGGTTCTCAGAGTAGCGAGGGCTCTGGTTCTGGTTCTGGTTCAGGTTCAGGGTCAGGGTCTGGGTCTGGGTCTGGGTCTGGTTCCGGCTTCGCTTCCAGCCCCAACACAATCTCCGGTTCCGCCGCCAACCGCGCCGCCTCGGCTGCCTCCAACCGTACAACCGCCTCGGGCCGGCGGCGGGCCGTGTCCTATCAGCAACAGACCACCACCTACCAGCCGTACCGTCCGCCCTCGACCGACGTTGCTCTGCAAAGCACCGTCTACCCTCCAGCCCCGGCTGGAGCGGCGGTAGCGGCGGTGTCCAGGCCAGGCTCGGCCGCCGGTGCTTCGCAGATAAACCACGCCTATCCGCCGTCCGTCCACCGGAACAACAGCACCACACCCACCCATTCTCACTCCCACTCCCTGCCGCACCCCAATTCCCATCCCAACACCAAACTCAGCCCACGCAACCCCTACCACACCTACCGCGCCGCCCGCGGCAGCACCGGCTCTCCTGCTCCGCCCGTCTCGTTCCACAACAACAATGCAGCGTCGCATCTTCAGATGAGCGGGACGACCGCCAGCATGCCTTCCGTGCCCCTGTCCGAGTTTTATACAGTCAATCCCGACACGACGGCCACAATGCCGTCCGGGTCCGGGCCTGCACCCGCACTCGCACGAATCCCCGCGCCCGCTCAGCCCGTCATGCTCAACAATTCCACCATCCGGCTGGTCGAGCTGCCCGGTCCGCTGGCGATGCACCCGCTCTCAAATGATCCGCAGCAGCCGCCACGGGCTCTCCAGCAGCAGTCACAGCAACAGCCACACCAGCAAGAACAACAGCAGCAAACGGCTGAGGCGTCGACATCATCAGCCAACGACGTTATTGCTCAACCAGCTGCATCCGCCGCCTCGGCATCGGTCCCGCGCCCGTCCACCTCGCGTGCCTCCCACGCCAGCTTGTCCCTCCTGCCCAAGATTCCCAACTCCCCAGGCGCCGGGCCCTCGCGGTCGCTAACCCTGACGCCACCCGTCGCTCCGCCCGTCCCACCTCCTGCCGCAGTCGTCAGGCCGTCGTCCTCGAGCAATCCCGCCGGCGGCCACCGCCCCTCCATGTCCTCATACATCGACCTCCTCGAGGCTGCCTCCCGCCTCAAGCGCACCCACTCATACCAGGGTGGCGCGCACGCCGGCGAGCTGATCCCACGTGACGCCTCCTACACGCCGGTCACCCCGGGCGGCGTGACGGACGACGGCGAGGCCACGGCCGGCGAAACCACCGAGGTCGAGCGGGAGCGTGACCGCAAGCACGACAGGGCCCAGGATCGATATCGCGAACGCGAACGAGACGCTAAAGTCGCAGCCGCGACCGAAGCTGCAGCCGAACACGAGCCGGAGCCTGTCCTGCAGATCGGCCGCTACACATATGTCCGCTCCGATTCCGGCGACCACGACTACCGCGCGTCGCTGATCCGCGACGACGGCTCGCGCCGGTACACCACGCGGCCCGTGACGCGCAACAGCCTGGTCGGAGGCGGCAGTCTCGCCGGCAGCCTGCGGCGGCTGCCCTCTCTGCGCCGCCCCCAGCCCAAAAAGCCCTCGCCCAATGCCCCGTATGGCTTTTCCTTGACACACGAGGCGCTGTTTGTGCTTGTCGTGTGCTTGTCGCAGGTCCTGATGCTGGCCGGCATCGCCCAGGCCCTTGTTCCTGCGCAAGCCATGAGCCGCTCCTTCCCCGACGCCAGCCCGGGCAACATTGCCTGGTACACCGCTGCCTATGGCCTGACGTCTGGCACATTTGTGCTGCCGGCGGGCCGCGTGGGCGACCTGTTTGGCCACCGGCGCGTGTTTGTCCTTGGCTTTGTCTGGTTTGCCGCCTGGAGTCTGCTGGCGGGGTTCACGCCAGCCGTCCAGCACGCCGGCGCCGACGCGGCCACATCGCACAGAGGCACCACCCTCTTCATCATCTGCCGCGCCATGCAAGGCATCGGCCCGGCCATGCTGGTGCCCAACGGACAGGCCATGCTGGGCCGCGCCTACCCGCCCGGCCCCCGCAAGAACCTGGTCATGTGCCTCTTTGGCGCCTCGGCACCCGTGGGCTTCGTGGCCGGCGCCGTCATGTCGTCGCTGTTTGCTATTTACGCCTCGTGGCCGTGGGCGTTTTGGACGCTGGCCGCCGTGTGTGTGGCCCTGGCCGCCGTCAGCATGCTGGTGCTGCCGGCCGACGAGGTCAACGTCCAGGAGCTGAACCCAAAGCGGGCGACGATGGACACCATGCACACGATGGACACCTCCCGTCTCGACGACGACGACGACAACGACGACGCGGACGACGCCGTCTTCTCCAAGAAGAAGGTGGCCACGCAGGAAAGCCTCTGGGTGCGCATGGACGGCATGGGCATTTTGCTGGGCGTCGCCGGGCTGGTGCTCGTCAACTTTGCGTTCAACCAGGCGCCCATTGTCGGCTGGGCCACGCCCTACACGTACTTTTTGCTCATCTTGGGCCTCTTCTTTGTTGCCGCGTTCCTCTACGTCGAGGCCTTCCAGGCCGTCTGCCCGCTCGTGCCGCTCGCCGCCATGCGCTCCACCACCAACTTTGTCCTGGGCTGCACCGCCACCGGCTGGGGCTGCTTCTCCGTCTGGGTCTACTATGCCGTCCAGATGTTCGAGACCCTGCGCGGCTGGTCCCCGCTCATGACCAGCGCCGCCTTCGCGCCCGCGCCCGTCACCGGCCTGCTGGCCAGCCTGCTGACCGGCTTCCTGTTTAGCCGCGGCGTCAAGCCCCACTGGGTCATGCTCCTCAGCATGTTTGCCTTTTTCGTCGGCAGCCTGCTGTTTGCCACCTCCGCGCCCGACCAGCTCTACTGGTTCAACCCCTTCTTCAGCATCCTCATCATGCCCTTTGGCATGGACATGTCCAACCCAGCCGCCATCATCCTCGTCAGCAACAGCGTCCGCCGCGAGCACCAGGGCATCGCCGCCAGTCTTGTCGTGACATTTGTCAACTACGCCATCTCCTTGGCCCTCGGCATCGCCGGCTCCGTCGAGGCCGGCGTCTTTGACGCCGACAACCTGCTGGTCGGCTACCGTGCCGCGCAGTACTTTGGCCTCGGGCTGGGTGGGCTGGGCATTCTGTTCGGGACCGCGTTTTTGTGCCAGAGCTACCTGCGCGCACCACCGGCCGCTCCAGTGTCGGACGAGAAGGCGGGTCGTATTTGAAGGTCGCTGAGACTGAGGTGGCAGAGGTGTTGAGGTGAAATGTGAAAAGCAGTGAGACCTAAGACAGGAATTTGACGAAAGAAGTGAGAAAAGGGGCTTAGAGGGGGACGTGGGAAGGAGCACTCGCTCAGGAAGGAACGTTTGATGTTTGATTTCTCGTCGCATTTACTTGGAGTTTTGGATGACTGGGAAGGTACATTGAGCACGACATATTCGGCGGAAAGAGCGTTTGGTAGTTTTGTGTTTTAGGACGCAACATTTTGTGTACGGGAAGGAGCGATTGTCAGGTAGACAGCGATGACACTGCTACTGGAACAACATCTCTGATGGCAGCATGAGTTTGGATTCTTTTTAGATAGATAGAAAGTAAAAGTTGTAATTAAGGATAAAATATCGTCAGGTAAAATCTGCGGGCTCATAACGGAGTATTTCTTTAGGTAGCCAACTGTAACGCTAAAATACAGCGCTGGACAGCCTGTAAATCGCCACAGCAAAGGCAGGCGCAAAAGAGCCCGTCTTAATTGATGCCCCACTTTTTCACACCATAACGCGCAATGGACGCGTCGAAGAAGCAGGCGCATGTGCCACACCGCACGCCTCTTGCCCGCTTCGTCACTTGCAGCTTCCCAGCTGCATGCAAACGCACACTTCCAAAGCAACGCAGCTCGCCGTCCGACCACCATTTGCGCATATTTACGGAATACGACCCACGACAGCTACGACCACGAAACAATACACGGCCATTGTGGGCATCGTCGGCTAGTGTCTTTTCCCCGTCTTCTCGACACGATTCCTCCCCTCACCGCCTACAGACCGCCACCATGGGTATCAAACAGCTCTTCCAGATTGTCAAGGAGGAGGCACCCGATGCCGTCAAGGAGGGGGAGATCAAGAACCAGTTTGGCCGGAAAGTAGCAATTGTGAGTGCGCAGGCGAGATGATAAGACTCGAAAGGAGATGCTCTGGCAGCAGCTAACACGGTCACAGGATGCGTACGTTCCGACCTGACGAGACGACGACCTAACGAGGCGACTCTCTCCTCCATGTACACGCTACACACAATCGCTAATACACACCCTAGATCTATGAGCATCTACTCGTTCCTGATTGCCGTGCGTTCCGACGGCCAGATGCTGATGAGCGAGGCCGGCGAGACCACATCGCATCTCATGGGCATGTTCTACCGCACACTGCGCATGGTCGACAACGGCATCAAGCCACTCTACGTTTTTGACGGCGCGCCGCCCAAGCTCAAGTCCGGCGAGCTCGCGCGCCGTTACATGCGCAAACAAGAAGCCACCGAGGGCCTGGAGGAAGCCAAGGAGACGGGCACAGCCGAAGACATTGAGAAGTTCTCGCGCCGCACCGTCCGCGTCACCCGCGAGCACAACGAGGAGTGCCAGCGCCTGCTGAAGCTGATGGGCGTGCCGTTCCTCGTGGCGCCCACCGAGGCCGAGGCCCAATGCGCCGAGCTGGCCCGCGCTGGCAAGGTGTACGCCGCCGCCAGCGAGGACATGGACACGCTGTGCTTCAACACGCCCATTCTGCTGCGCCACCTGACGTTCAGCGAGCAGCGCAAAGAGCCGATCCAGGAGATTCACCTCGACAAGGTCATGCAGGGGCTCGGCATGGAGCGCCCGCAATTTGTCGACCTGTGCATTCTGCTGGGCTGCGACTACCTCGACCCCATCCCCAAGGTCGGCCCGCACACGGCCCTCAAGCTCATTCGCGAGCACGGCTCGCTCGAGAACGTCGTCGCGTTCATGAAGTCGGACAAGAAGCAAAAATTCGTCATCCCCGAGGACTGGCCCTACGAGGACGCGCGCGAGCTCTTCTTCAAGCCCGACGTGCGCGCCGCCGACGACCCGCTGTGCGACTTCAAGTGGGACCGCCCGGACATCCCCGGCCTCGTGCAGTTCCTGGTCAACGAAAAGGGCTTCTCGGAAGACCGTGTGCGGTCGGGCGCGGCGCGTCTCGAGAAGAACCTAAAGGGCACGCAGCAGCAGCGCCTCGAGGGGTTCTTCAAGGTGGTGCCCAAGACGGAGGCGGAGGTCAAGGCGCAGAAGCGCAAGCTGGACGAGAAAAACGAGGAGAAGAAGAAGCGGCTCAAGGAGGAAAAGAAGGACAAGGCCAAGGCCAAGGCAAAACCCCGGGGCGGTGCGTAAAGGGGCACGGAGAGCAAGATGAGCAAGATGATGATGACAAAACAACGGCACATGGAAGCTTGGCCGGGACGCTTGGCCTGGACGCCTCAGAACCCAAAGAACAGTCTGGGTATTGGTCCGTCAGAGTGGAGGGGCGTGGGGAAGGCCGAGATGAGGTCGCCCACGCAGCGACGGAAGACATACACCAAAGCGCGGCAGAGGAGGGACGGGTCCCCTGTGATAGTCAGGGGTCATCCATCATTGCATGGCCTATGCTGATTTTTCTTTTTCCGTTACGCCCGTCTCCTTTCTCTTCATTTTTGGGTATTTTGGTTCAAACGGGACTTTGCATATGGCGTTGTTCTAGGGCGGATCTCCATCATCGGGGGTATATTATGGATAGGGAAAATCACATGGAATATTTACTGTTGACGGATAGAGGCAGGCCTGGTACTATCGAATGTGGTACAGAACGTCTTTGGGGACTGGTAGTTTGGCGTGGTCTGGAGCACAGTTTGGCACAGCCTGACACCTGCCACCAAAATCACGGCAGAACACGCCAAAAGACCACGAGACTAATCTGTGGCGTGCCTCGGCAGGCCCACCCAATCACACGACGCCAATGCGATCTTCTCGAAACAAAATGACATCAGCGCCTTGTGGGAAGGAGCCACCGGCGCAAAGCATACGACCTTGAAATTCTGAGCATCACATGCGCTTGGCACTGCCCAGGCTGGCTGCGCCCGTGTTCACGTATTCAATGCGCCAGGGAAATGTCTTTGCATTGCGTCTGATTCGCCGTCTTTGGATTGCCGTTCTCAATGACAAGTTTTATTTTCTGCTGGCAATTGTACGCCATTCTCCATGATTCACTTTGTACCCCAGCATTTTGGCCTCCTTCCCTTTCCCCGTTGCGAAAGTCGTCTGCGCCTTCTCTGCTGTGAAAGTTTTCGTATTACCAGTTGCTCTTTCCGCTTGTAGCCCTCTGTAATTCGAACCGAAGACAATCACTGCGTGCACCCCACACATTCCAGTGCATCGCTCCTGCCGCCTCGGTGTGCGCAGATCTCGCTGCAAACAGCATAATGCCACAGCGCGTCCTCGACAGCGGCGTGGTTTCCCCTTTGGGCCTGGAGCACCTACACTAATCCCACAATCGCACGGTGCAGTTTTGGCGCTCTAGTGGACCGTGGAGCCGGTTTGTATGGAGCTTAGGCGCTGCTGTGCCCCGGACCCCACGGGCCACAGCCAATGATGGCGTGCGAATTACGCTTGCACCCCACACTCTCCAAACGTGTCGAGGAGTGTCCGCACTGCGCACTGTCTTCAACACTGTGTTTCCGTCAGCGCGGCAGGGCCAGACAGAACACAAGCTTGCAGCGGCTTTCTTCAATAGCTCATTCATTCGCATGTGATCGGCCTTGGTGCACTCTGGCAGCCCAAGAAAGTTGCCGACCACGCCGTCCGGATTACTTTGCCATCGTGCCCTTTTCCCTTTAAGCCAACGGATCCTTTTATTTCAAGTCTTTCTTCTTTCTTCTTTTCCTTCATCTCTTTCATTGTCTTTCCTCGACCTTTTCTTCCCGTCCATATACCCATTCGTTCTCCGTTTTCATCTTGACTCTTCCTCTTCTATATCGTCATCTTCTCGCCTACCTTCACAATGTCGAAGACGTTCACACAGGCCGAGGTTGCCTCGCACAACAAGCCCGACTCGCTGTACATCACGGTCGACGGCGATGTTTACGATCTGACCAAGTTCCAGGATGACCACCCGGGTATGTGCATGTGCCCTCTCGTTTATGAGCTCGACTTGCGTTGAGATTCGCACAACGTCCGCAGCGATCCTCCTTACTAACGTCCATTTTCTAGGTGGCAAGAAGATCCTCGCCCGCGTCGCCGGCAAGGATGCGTCCAAGCAGTTCTGGAAGTACCACAACGAGGGCATCCTGAAGAAGTACCAGCCCCAGCTGCTGGTTGGCTCGCTCGACACCAAGCCCAAGGCCGAAGCCCCGGCGCCCAAGCCCAAGCCTGCCGCGCCCGCCCCGAAGAAGGCCGAGGCCAGCAAGCCCGCCGCGTCCCACGAAGAAGTCGAGCCGCTTGAGCCGTTCGGCAGCATCATCCCCTTTGCCGACCCTGGCTGGTACCAGAGCGTGAGTCCACCCCATCCTTGTTTTCCCCGCTGTTTGACGGATGGCTTGCTAACGTTTGCAGTACCGCTCCCCCTACTTCAACGAGACCCACGCTGCCCTCCGCGCCGAGGTGCGCGAGTGGGTCGACTCCGCCATCGAGCCCAATGTCACCGAGTGGGATGAGGCCCGCCTGGTGCCCCCCGAGATCTACAAGGAGATGGGCCGCCGCGGCTACCTCGCCGGTCTGCTGGGTACCGCGTACCAGAACGACTACACCGAGAACCGCGTCCAGAGTATGCCCACCGACAAGTGGGATCTCTTCCACGAGATGCTGCTGACCGACGAGCTGTCGCGCGCGGGCTCGGGTGGTTTCGTCTGGAACGTGATTGGTGGTTTCGGCATCGGCTGCCCGCCGCTGGTCAAGTTCGGCAAGAAGAGCCTCAAGGACCGCATCCTGCCGGGCATTCTCAACGGCGACAAGCGCATCTGCCTGGCCATCACCGAGCCCGATGCGGGCTCCGACGTCGCCAACCTGACCTGCGAGGCCAAGCTGAGCGAGGACGGCAAGCACTACATTGTCAACGGCGAGAAGAAGTGGATCACCAACGGCATCTGGTCCGACTACTTCACGACGGCCGTGCGCACGGGCGGCGAGGGCATGAACGGCGTCTCGCTGCTGCTGATTGAGCGCTCGTTCGGCGGCGTCTCCACGCGCAAGATGGACTGCCAGGGTGTCTGGTCCAGCGGCACCACCTACATTACGTTCGAGGACGTCAAGGTCCCCGTCGAGAACCTGATTGGCAAGGAGAACCAGGGCTTCCGCGTCATCATGACCAACTTCAACCACGAGCGCATCGGCATCATCATCCAGTGCCTGCGCTTCTCGCGCGTCTGCTACGAGGAGTCGGTCCGCTACGCGCACAAGCGCCGCACCTTCGGCAAGCGCCTCATCGACCACCCCGTCATTCGCATGAAGCTGGCCCACATGGCCCGCCAGATCGAGGCCAGCTACAACTGGCTCGAGAACATGATCTACCAGTGCCAGACCATGAACGAGACCGAGGCCATGCTGCGCCTTGGCGGTGCCATTGCCTCCCTCAAGGCCCAGTCCACCATCACCTTTGAGTTCTGCGCCCGCGAGGCCAGCCAGATCTTCGGTGGCCTGTCCTACTCCCGCGGCGGCCAGGGCGGCAAGGTCGAGCGCCTGTACCGCGACGTGCGCGCCTACGCCATCCCCGGTGGCTCCGAGGAGATTATGCTGGACCTGAGCATGCGCCAGAGCTTGCGCGTGGCCAAGGCCACCGGCATGAAGCTGTAAAAGGCTGTTAGTGTTTTTGGTTTATTTCTTTTGTTTCTCTTGGAAAAGCCGTTGCTTCCATGCTGTATGATTTCTATAAGGCACCTTCTGTAAAGGCCGGCCTTTGATGTTTCTTCTAATCGTTTTTGTAATCGTTTTTGCATATCTTCGATTCTCATCTGTTCTTTTGTACCTAGAAATTTGGGCACACTTTAGAAGCATCAATCAAAGTCTGAAAAAGAAAAAGAAAAGTGTGGCATTGTCATTTTCTTTTGCGAAAGTGAAATACCGTCATGTGACAGAATGTGGACTGTCCGCCATGGGAAGGTGCGGACGCATGTGTTGCGCCTTCCCGTTTCTATTCACTATTGTCATGTAAACAATGGCACCATCATCGCCAGTTAGTTTAATTTACTTACCGTCCTTTTCTTCTCCATCTATGCACTATGCCAATCCACATCGCACTCTTAGACTAGATCTAATAATTAGAGAGCACTCTCCCGACCTAGGCCTGCATTGCAGAGTGCCATTATCATTTAGGTTTTATTTACATTATCCTCCGTCCGCTTCTTTCCTCCGCCTTTGCATCGCGTTCTTTTCTCCCTACGACGGTCAACTCCAATTACCTTCCCACCCCCTTTTGACGCAAAATGACCTCTCATGAACCATCACAACCATTGGTGCCTACCGCCGCATTTGCCTCCGCCCTCTCCCGAGTGGTAACTCCCGCAGACCGGGCCAAAAACGTCACAGAGTGGATGCATCGGCTCTCAAGAGCGTCTACCGAAAACTCCTCAACAGACATGCCAGTCCTGGCTAGAACGCCGAATCGAAGAGGAAACCGCCGCCAACACCGGTCTCTAGACGGTGCCTAGACGGCGCCGATAGACTGCGGGTACGATGCGGCCGTCCCTGCACCTGCACCGGATCCTACTCCTACATCTATCGCTCGATGCCCCCTCTCCTCAGAACAACGCGAAGCTCTTTCCGCTTTACAGGATCTACAGAACGCCGGTTCTGACGAATTGTCTGCCGACGAAGACGACACCGTTGATAACACAGCTCCTCAAAACCATCGCACTAGCTCGGCGCAGAATGAAGATGGAAACAACGCCAGCAGCACCAACATGGATCCCCAGGTGACCCAGCTGCACATCGCCATCCACGAGCGGCTGCAGCGCCAACGTGCTGCACAGCGTGGCCGCCGCACCATTGCTGGCGTCTCCGTTCCGTGGCCAAAGCGCTGGGCCGGCAGTCTCCAGTGGCGCCAAAACCAGGCCGCGCGCCAACAGCTATGGGAGAGTTCATTTGACGGTACCACCGGAACACTTGGCGCCACCGGCGGCTTAGCCAGTGGCCTGACCACAAGCATCACACAGCAGCTGTGCCCAGACCTCTCCGCAACCCACCAAATCTCCCTCACGGCCAACATTGGCGGCAACGTCGGCGGAACGACGGCACCGGCCGCTGTAGTGCCCGCTGTACCGCCGGCTGCGTCCACAGCAGCCAACAAAAACGCAAAGGCGAACAAACTTCTGGGAGACGCCACCGACATCCCGCAGCGGTGGAAGTGGTTCCTCAGCCCGCGCGAGACGATATTGGAATGGGCCATGGCCAAAGCCCGCAGCGAGAAGCGGATGGAGCGGAAGCGGACGAAGAAAGACAAGGCAGCTCAGCGCAAGGCCCTCAAAGCGCTCAAGGAACAGGAGGCCAAGGTTGCTCAGAAATCGGTGTCTGTGGACGTGTACGGCCCCGGGGTAGCCACGGGCGAAGAAGTGCCACTTGATGGCGATGATGCGGTCCGCACTGCCGAACAGCAGCTCGAGGCGCAGGCTCGCGCGAGAGCAGCGGCGACACTGGGGCCGAGACCGCCTGGCACAGAAGCAGAGCTGGCCGTCGAGGCAGAAGCATTTGCCGCGGCGGCAGTGGCTCCTCGCGTAGTCACCCAGTACGGCCGTGTTTGGGTGCGGCCAAAGAACATGTACGGTGAAGAAGGATCGGTGGCCGCGACGGGCGACGGTGCGGCCTCCAATGTTGACAATGACAACATTGACGATGCCAGCAGCTACTACGAAAACGGCCTAGGCGTGGCTGCCTCGCCGCCTCCCTGCTGTGCTTGCGGGGTGTCGGCACCGCCCAACTCGGTGGTTGATTCTGGATACGGCCACATGGAGGCACCTGTGATTTTCGACGAGGAGGACGAGGAGGACTGGCCGTCGTCTCTCATCCAACTCGTCTCCCTCTCCCTGACCTCAGGGACTGGGTTGCCGCCCCATGCTACGGAGTCAGGTTCTCAGGCCGCAACCGCCACCGTTCGATGCTCGTGCCGATCCGGCCCACCTACTACGGGTGCCATTTCTGAGGTTGACGGCGCCACAGAGGTTCCTGCTTTATACCGACGTCGTTCATGGGCACGTTATGAGAGCAGCTTTGATGACGGTCGGAGCTTTGTCACCTGTCTCAGCCGGCTGTAGGCGTGGTTAACCATGGGTCTACCTAGAACAACCTTGGACGACGATGAGAAGGGAATTGGAATGAAATAGATAATATAATGTTAATGGTTATTGGTATAGAGGCTCGCGCCGACTTTGACTTCAACGTAACGTAGACGAAAAAGATGCTGACGTACGTAGTAGACTGGTCTATTGGATAGCTGTTCTAACAAATTCATATAACAAAGTGGAATGAACGCCTCATGTCTTGTCCAGCTCGCTATTGTAACTGGTTGTAATACTGTACGAAAAAGAACATTGGTGAGAGGCTAAGGGGACGTTAAAAGGAGCAAAGAAACAAGTGACATTAAAACAACGTATAGGAATAAAACAAGGTGCAAATCCATGGCCCGCCGTGACATGAAGAAAGAAAAGAAAAGGAAAAAAAAAAGAAAAGGAAAAAAGATGAAAAGCGCCATCCCCCAAAGCCTAAGCATCATGAAAAGAAACAGAAAAAGCCCCGTCTATACCGTGTATTCCCAGTGTTGGTCGTTTAATCTTGCCGGCTGTTCTCGCCCGTCTTCACAACCGGCACCATCTCGTACTCGCCGGCACCGTCACGGCCTCTTCCCCGGCCGCGACCGCGTGAGAACCCTTGCTCCTCGTCGCCCTCGGCCGCAGAAGCGCCGAGCCCGCCCCCATTCGAACCACCGTTGGTCGTTGTGCTGCCGCCACCGCCGCCGCCGCCGCCGTTGCCGGCCGCTCCGCCAAAGGAAATCGGCTGCAGCTCCCGGTGCCGGCACCCCCACGTCCCCAGCGCCAGCGCCGTCCCCGTCGACACCGCCATCGTCGCCCACCAGGCCAGGTTCGCCGGGAACGAGTGCGTCAGCGTCACCACACAGAGGTGGACGGCGTGCAGCGTCGCGGCAAAATCCAGCACGAGCTTGGAGCGGCCGACAAGGTAGACAATCGAGGCGGCGCCGACGAGGCCGGCGGCCAGCCACCAAACAAAGGCCGTGAGCCAGCCGTCGGTGGTGTCGCCGCGGATGGCGCTCCAGCCAAAGACGAGGTTGAAGGAAAAGTCGCGGCCGGCGACGCGCTCGGTAAAGAACATGAGGGCCGTCAGGCTGGCGTACAGTGTGGTCTGGATGATGGCGATTTGTGCGAGGATTTTGAGCGGCGGCAGCTCGCCGAGAGCGCCGGAGCGGCGCGGACGGCGACGACGCACCATCGAATCTCTGTGAGGGCGTCGTGCGCTGGGTGTCTGGGCCAAACGTGCTAGACAGTGCCGGCCACCAAGACGGTGTAAAGCGCCGCGCCCGGAGGGTGTGTTGTGCTCCACGGGACGCGCAGCGTCGGTGTAGAAGAAGTGCGAAGCTTTGACGGATCGCGGGTTGTTTCCAGTGGGAAGGTGTCGTCAGATGTGGGAGGGGGTGCTGCTGCCGTCGATGGAGAGTCCAGAGAGACACGACAAGTCTACCGCAGTTCGCGTCCAGCTTCTGGAGTCGGCTATTTGTCGTTGTGCCGGGTTTTGATGTTCGCGCCGGTTGTCGCGATCCACGCCAAAGTCGTCAAAAGGCAGAAAAGGGGGCCGTCAAGGGCGTCGCAAAAGAAACGGGTAGTCTGGAAAGTAAGGGACAGAAAGTGTCATCCACTAGAACGCCGCTGTATCGTAGATTGCTAGTCGTCGAGAAATGCGAGAGAAATTATGAGGTTGGAGAAAGCAGAGAAACCCGATGCGTCGTCTGGCTGTTGTCTTTGGTCGAATGGCTGGGAACGGCAGGAACAGCAGACATCGAAAATGATGTTGCCTTGTTTGGGGCAATTTTGGGTTGGTGGCAGCCCTCTGAAAGACTGATAAAATAAGGCGTCTGGCACCCCTGGCACCGCTGTTACCAAGCTCGCCAGGTGGCCGGATCGCCCCATCGCCCCTGTAAACGTGCTGTAGTCAACCAGCGGTTGGCAGCAGAAGCTATCCTTCACCGCCTTTTTCTGCCATGACATCTGAACGATTAAATCGCTAAATTTTCATAGCCATGAAGCTTTGATTTATGTGGCAGGTGACAGCAGCTCGTAAGCCGCCGCCATCCTAGTCATGCCGCGAGTGGTGGATTATACACGATAGTAAAGGCACTCACATACTCTCTTTGTGGCGTCTCATAATATCCTTCAGTCTGTAAAAATATGTAGAGTCCAGCGCTCTTTCCCCTCGCTGACGCATGTCAGAATAGGCAGGAGGGGCGCCCTAACAAGACGTCTTAGCGGCCGTTCGATGCGCCTTCTGAGCCTTTACAAGGCCGTCCCAATTACATCAGCTCACTGGCTCCATTCTAATAGCTCATTCGGCTTCAACGTCCGTCCAACTTTGCACGCTTTGCCACTTTACTTCAACCCCGGGAACCGAATAGCAAGACGACAATCAGGCATTCCTATGACGCTTTAACAGACACTGATATTCGCCTTTTAATTGACCCTCATATCAGCCTGGGACACTCTCAGGAGCACTCCCCTGAACGTCCTGCCACTCACTTCTCACCCTTCCTCTCGCCTCTCTCATCTCTCACCTCATCTGCCATCACACCAACCCCAGCCCTCTTGCACGATGGGCATCTCCTCGCTCTGGGGCGGCTCCTCAGCACCGGCCACCGAAGAAGAGCGCCGCGCCCAGGCCATCCGCTCCGGTGCCGCCGTCCCCTCCCGTGCCGAGCGCAAAAAGTGCTGGGACTCGCGTGACCTCTACTTTGGCTGCCTCGACCGCATAAACGTCTATGACGCTCTCGAGCCCGCCGGCGCCGCGGCTGCACAAAAGTCGTGCGCCAAGGAGAGTCAGCAGATGGACCGCGACTGTGCCGCGGAGTGGGTAAGCAAAACAACCCTCGGAACCATTTGGCACCATTTGGCACCATTTGGCACCATTCACCCCTTGTTTTTGGTCGTCTTTGTCGTGTCCCTGGTCGCATATCGTCTCGCTTCCGTCGATGCTAACCTGGCAGGTCGTGCATTTCAAAAAGTTCCGCCTGGCCAACCACCAAAAGGAGCAGCGGCTGGCGGCCCTCAAGGCCCAGGGCGCCTTTGAGGTGCAGATCAACAACGGCCCTGGCGACTCGGTGCCAGCCAACAAGAAGTAAGAGCGTGGGCTGGTCTAACAGCCGGCTTCAGTAGAAGGGCGCAGCTTTGTATATTATTTGTCCTAGGGTATTCAGTTAAAAGGCGGAAATGGAGGGAAACGGCACGGAACGTGCATGAGACGGAGGTGGAAAACATGGTATGATACGCAAAAGGATGTACATAGTATACACGCCACGTGAACAAAACAATTCAACTCTAGTGAAAAAAGTATGATATTCTTGGTGATGATATTTATATTGCGAGCTCTAATAATGTATGTGTGGTCTGCAGATCCCGGTACCTCGGTGGAAAAAACACACGGCCTCTTCTTTCAGCCTTGTTGTTATCCCGCCTGTATGAGGGAACCCAAGGTCGATGTTCTCTTCAACATAGTCTAATCAAAGAAATTGGTACATGGCCAGCTCACGACAAGCACATACAAAGTACAAATCATTGGAGTATAGAGGAAGAAACAAAAACACGCCCGCACGACGTGTACAGGTTTTAGGAGAAGACAAGTATAAAGACGAAAGAAACGGTCTTCGTATGTAAGAAAGAGGTTAAGCTAGACGGAGCCAAAAACGGAGGACGTGAAAAGGGCCGCTCTCGCAATTAGGAAAGAAACAGAAGAAATAGAACCCGCAAAAAAGAGAACAATGATAGAAAAGGAGGCTCGTGTGTTTATGCAGCTGGGTCTTTTATAAGAGACAAGAGGATGGAAAGACTAGACATAAGAAATTGACACTAGGAAAAGATGAAACTAGGGCAAGAGAGGCAATGAGGGAGAAAAAGAAAGAAAAGAGAAAGGGGAAACGAGAAAGAGAAAAGAGAAAAATGTAAAGTGGTATCATGATGGAGGGAGATGTATTCGGCTTTCGGTAGGCTTTCGGTATGACAAAGAGGGAGTGTAAGAGAAGCACAAAAAAACAAGGAAATCGAAATCACCCAAACAGAAATAGGAAGAATAGAAAACAGCAGCACAAAAAGAGAAAAGGGTGGTCCGACCCCAGTCTCCTTTCATCACCACTATCCAACCGCGTATTCCAAAAAAAGAAAAAAAAACTTCACCTCTCCAGGGACAACCTTCCTTTCATCCCTTTCCTTGCCGTCCGCAGTTCCTCAAAAACAGTTCGTTCGCATGTCCCCCCCCCCTCCTCATGCTGCACCGTCCAGTTTCGGCAGCGGCGGCAGCTCCTTGTCGAGACTGTCCCGGCTCAGCTGCATCTTCAGTTTGTGGCCCGAACCCACCGTGCCAACTGTCCCCGACCGTGACCGTGTGCCCGACACGCCGTAGCCACTATCCGCGCTCTCGGGTTTCAGGTAGCCGGTTGCCGGCGGTGTGGGTGGGCTAGGATCTCCATGGCTGCCAGCCGCACTTGCACTCCCGCCACTGAGCCTCACCGGCAGGTCTTTGGCAGGCGTGGCCGGCCGATCGTCGCTCGCGGCCGTGTGGCTGCTAAACCGGCTGCTGTGGCTGCGGCCGCCCGTCGACGAGTTCTCGTTGGCTTCGTCGACGATGGGCAGGACAGGCTGCTGCATGGACTCGCGGCGGTCGCTGTGCGGGGGTGGTGGTGGCGGAGAGTTCGGCATGGACGGGACCGAGGCGGACATGGGTGGCAACAAGGGGAGAGACGGGAGAGACGGCAGCGCCGGTGCCGACTGACTGGAGCTGGGGGGGCCGGCCACGAGACCAGGCAAAAGCGTGCCGTTGCCAACGGGGACCGTAGTTTGTGTTGTTTCGGTCTCGTTGGCTGCTGAGGCCTTTTGAGCCTCAAACTCAGCTGCGCGGTGGGCCGTCGTCACGTTGCTGCTATCGACGCCACTGTTGTTACCGTTGCTGTTACCATGGTTGCTACCACTGCCCGAGGCGCCTCCGCGGTGCCGTAGGTTGCCTGACCAACCGCCGTGCCGGTGGTGGCCGGCCGCGTCTGTACCCTTATCGCGGCCGCTCGCCGTGGCCACGCCGTCAAATCCGAATCCGGGACCGTCGCCCGCATGACCGCTTGTGTCTGCATTTGGTGCAGCAGAAGCCGAGGCCGCTGCTGCGTCGGCTCCCGCCGCTTTGCCACGGTCTTGCGCCTCGCGGGCCGCATCTTCTGGCGACATGGTGATGCCCGACATGAACTTGAGGAACCGGTCACCGTATTCTTGGGGTGGTAAAGCCGATATCTGCGTTGCATCATTGGATAGGCCTTTCCAGAAGTGCTCGATCTTCTTGATAATGCCGTACTGAGGGGAGATAGATGTGTTAGTGAGTGTTCGAGAAAAGACGAAAAGGGGGGAGGGAGAAAAAGGGAGGAGCCTACGTGAGTAAGACAGTCAATGACTCCGAGGTAGTAGACCTCTTCCGCAGCTGTATTGTCCAGGTGTGTGGCCTGGAAGCCGCCGTCGTCCTTGTAAAAGATGGACTGCTTGTTGTCGTCGAGCTCGTCTGGCATTTTGTTGCTGCTCTCGCCAATCGGAATCGGCCGCTCGGATTTGAGCATCTGGCGAAGCTCGCGCGTCTTGCGCTGGTGCTCGAGCTTGCTAGGGGTGCGCATCAGCACGGACTGCGTACCGAGTCCGTCGGCGTTTTGCTTTTCGCCGCGCGGTTCGAACACTTGCAGGATCTTGCCGCGAAGGTTTTCGTCGTTGCCGCGCCGGAGATCGTGTGTGCCGACAAGCAGCGAGTAGTCCATGATCTGGAGACGCTGGAGCAGCTTGACATCCTTATGGAGCTGCTCCAAAAACAAGCGCTTCTTGATGATGCCCAGCTCGAGGTGCTGGTGCCGCCGCAGCCAATTCAGGTCTTTGAGCGTGGCGCGCGGGTTGTCCGACAGCAGCTCTTCGGGGTAGTCGCGGCCGATTGTCGAGCCCTTGAGGTCAAACGTCTGGTGGATGTCGCGATGCGGCGGGAACAGGTTGTTCATGACGACAAAGTGGATCTTGCGTCCATATGGCATTTTGACGCGGTGCAACCCGAAAAACTGCGACAGGAGCGTGTTGGGGTTCTCGGTAACGTGCTTGTAGTAGTCCTTGAGGATCTTGCGCAAGAACTTGTGCTCCGAGTGGTGGATGGTCTTGATAATGTAGCGGTAGTCCCGCGAAAAATAAAAAAAGCTGCCGCTCTTGCCGGGCGAGCCGAGTTCCGACAGAATGTACTTGCCCGCAAGAGACATGAGGTAATCGGCAGGGTCGAGGTGGAAGAGCTGGCGGAGGTGGCGGAACACCCACGGTGCGTAGTCCTTGAACTTGAAGTCGTACTTGGCCGAGGGGACCAGCTCATTGCCGGCGATATCAAAGGTGGACTTTTGCTTCGCTTGGAAGTCTTCGTCCGTCAGAGGCCGGTCGAGCTTGGCGTTGGTGCGTGAAACGGACACGCGGATGCCCGTCAGCATGTTGTAGGCGGCCACCCAGTTCTGGTGCGTCTCGTCCACCTTGGTGCCGACCAGGACCTGGTCGTCGTCCTGCTCCATGCGCCGCTTCTTGCTGGCGCGTTTCTGGCGGTAGGCCTCGGCCCACCTAAGGGCGTCCTCGTCGGGCACCACCTCGTCGCGCGGCAGGTCCGAGTGCAGAGACCGGGTGTTCCTACGGACGAGGCTCAACGACGCCCTCCGGCCGCCAATGCTGCTGATGCTGCCGTTGCCTACGCCGCCCGCCGCTGTGGGCGAAAAGCGGCCTGAGGCATAGACACCAGACGAGTCGATGCCCTCGCGCGAGTTCCTGGCTGGCGTGGCTTTGGGAACTTCGAGCGTGTGCCGGTGCTTCAGGCCAGCGGTCGGAGAGAGGTGCGTGCCAGCAACAGAGCTCGACGAGCCAGCCGCTGGGTTATAGGCAGGTGGCGAAGAGAACCTGTGCGGCAGGATAGACGGCTGTCCTGCCTGCAGAAGCTGTGGGTTTGGGCTCTGGGCAGAAATCTGGCTGGCCGAGGTCGATTCGGGCGTTGCTGCGGTCGTGGCTGTCGTGGGCGGTACTGATGCTGAAGCAGATGCAGGTCCTGCCGCAGCGGCCGTCGACAGACCACCATTAGACGAGGACGAGGCATGCACGTCACTGCTCCGGCTGCCTGCCTGGCGGCCACTGTAGACGTCGGCAATGGACGGCTGGACGGAGCTAGCACCAGTCGACGCAACAGAGTGCCGGGGCAACGTGTCGTCTGGGCTGGTGTCTGTCAATTCGCTCTCCTCGGTGCTTGTTCCGTTTATCCAAGCACTCTGCGGTTGGTTCTGGCTCTGGTGCTGAGCAGGCAGCGACTGGCTCTGGAGGTGGGGATTGCCGATGCGTGTGCGGTCGGCCATCGGGTTGGGGACGGAGATAGGGCCCCCGTTAGAAAGCGGCTTTGTTTTCCGCGGGAGCGTCTCTGGCTTTGGGGGGGGTGGCGGTGCTTGTGAGGGGGCTTCAGGCCGGTTCATATTCTGTGTCGGGATAGCAGAGGGCAGGGGAGACGGTGAAGAGGGGGCGGTTTGCTGCGAGGAGAGTGGTGGTGTTGTCTGTTGGGGAGGAGGCGGCGGCGCTCGTTCGGGTATTGCGGGTGCGTTCGAGCTTGTGAGAGAGGCCGTGCGGCCGTCGACATTGTCCATTTCGCCATCGTCGTTGCCACCGCTCAGTTTGTCGTCCTTCTCATAGTAGCCATCGAGACGCAGGTCTTCGTCAGGCGGTGCTGTGGTCGTCTGGGAGCTGGCGGCACCGACGCTGCTGCTCCCGCCGCCGCGACGCGTACTACCGCCATGGCCGTTCATGTCGGCCGACGAGGCGGCTGAGTCGGTATCGTCGTCGTCGTCGTAGTCGTCGGTGTCAGAGAACGTGGAAGAGCGTTTACGACGGGAGAACAAAGGGCGGGCATCGGTTAGCTGCGGCCGGGAAGCCAGCCGAGACGGCGGAGAGGGAGGCGGCGAGGTCGGTGGCGGAGGCGAGTAGCGGACAGGGCGCCGGCCATTGACAGCTGGAGCGTTGCCGTCAACAGACGCAAGCGCGTGGTTGGTGATGCGCGAGTCGACGGCCTTGCCAAAGACCGTGGCCGGGCCGTCTCGTGCCGCGTTGGACGCGGTCGTCGGCGTCGCCGAGGCGAGCGATTGGGTCAGGACTGGGCGGTTCTCTTCGTCGCGGGCAAAGGAGGGCATCGCAGCAAACGGGAAGGCCGGATGACGGGACGCTATCCTCTGTCGATTCAAAGGCCCTGTCTATGTCGAAAATATGATGTGGTCGGCGGCTATCTGTAAATCGTAGAGACTACTCGGTATGGCGCTGACGGCCGAGGAGGGTCTGGGGATCAAGGTCGAGCCCCCTAGAAAAACACTCGCAACGAGGGTGGTCGAGACAAACAAGGAAGAAGCTAAGGACGGCAGCGGTTCGTCGTCATGGTGTCGCGGCGAGAGGCTCAAAGCTCAAGGCAGTTCTCTGGGCACGTTGTCGATTGATCGTCAAGGCGGACACGCACTGCGTGCCGAGGAAAGCCACCCAGACGAGACTGGTCGAAGTCGATGGCAAGCGGGCACGTCGTCAGCTTGATGCGAAGCGTGGCTTCTGTCGATGGCCGGCAATGCAACGACGGATGGATACTCTGGCGATGTGTAAACGACGATGGTAAAGCGTGGATGCCGAGATTTACAGGCGGCGATGGACAATGGTCGGCGGCGATGGAGATGCAGGTGAAGATACAAAAGACGCTGAGGAGCGAGAGGAAAGGAGAGAGCGAGTTCGCGTGTCGTCGGCGTCGTCGGCGTCGTTGACGTCGTCGTACACAGAGTGTGCGGGTTGGCAATATTCAGGTTCGCAACGATCACAGGTTTGCGTTTTAGGGGGGGAGGTGAGGCAACAGACGGCAGCAAAGCGGGAAATGAGAGAGAATGGAAGGGCAGGGAAGCCAAGGGCGAGTCGGAAAAGTTGGCAAGCGCAATGCTGGCCCGCCAGCCAAAAAGGACCCAGGGCAGAGCCACACTAAGTTACTGTGCAGCTGTGGTAGGCGGCGGCTGGGCTGGGCTGGGCTGGGCTGGGCTTGGCTTGGCTGCGGCCACCACTGTGGGTTCCTTCCCTGGCTCGCCTGGCTCGCCTGGCTTGGAAAGGCAGGCGCAGACGGCCAATCACAGTGCGCAGTGGTGCGGAGGACAGTGTGAGACACTTCAGGGCGCTGGTGCTTCCCGCAAACTTGCTGATGCCATCGCACCGTACGATGCAATTACGCCCTGCGATACTTTGCGGTCTGGGGACAGGAGGAAATGAAGCTCCAGAAACGAGGACGATGTATGACAGCACATCGCCAAGGTCTGTTCCATACTACATCGTAAGCTGCAGGTTCCAGAGCTTGCTGTGCACTGTGTTCCTTCCCTGCTCGGCGTGTCCCTATCGCAGTTTCTTGCCGTGCAAGACAACCAACAGTGCTCCTTCCCGTCGCGTTGATCGCTGCTGCCGTTTTCAACAGCATCCCATACCAAGCCCATCACTCCTTCCTCCTTGCTTTTCTCTCGTGTTTATCGTTTTTCTCGAGTCGCTCCTTCTGTTTTCTGTCCCTTTCTTTTTATACCTCCTCTTCCCTCAATCCCTTGCATCGCATTTGAATGTTTCCTTTCTTCTGTTTTTTCATCTCTCACCATTCATTGCCACCATCACCTCGCCCACTCCACCAGCCCCATGGATCCCAGCTCAATCGGGCTAGGGGCGCCCTGGAGCTATCGCTTTGGTCCGCCGATTCCACAACCATCAGTCACTGTCTGTTTGGTCCCCTGTCGTCTGTCGTCACTCTCCACTTACTCTTCAGCCAGTGGTTCCAGTGGCTATCCCAGGAGCCAGCTCGGTCGGCAGAGCGACACACGGCTTTCACCGTCACGACTGTCTGTCAGGTACACATGAGATACAACAGGGGGTCGGTCGTGGTCCAACAAGTCCCCGACGCCCCGTCCTTTGCAAAGTTGCCGGATGTGTGACCCTAGCCGCGACGCGTTTGTTCGCTTGGCCATGTTTCTCGCGTGTTCCTGAGGCGTGTTGGCACTATCCGAGTCAATACGAGCTGGCACAGAAACGAGCATGCAAGTCTGTCTGACGCAGTAGTCAGTATTGTTTTGTCCCATCGTGTTGCGTTGTTTCCCATTCGATATTCCCTATTTGCGTGTCTTTGTGAGATACATCGTTTCTGTCTCATGCTGTGCTCACATTGCGCTGCCACGTCTCTTCATTTTAATCTTGATCTTTTGTCAGGTGCTCCCCCCATGTCCTCCCAAACGTCCAAAAGCCCCCCATCGCCCATCATTCTTCATCTCTCGGCCTCGTATCGACCACCGAACGTCCCGCCTGTCACCTCAATGGCCCTCTTCAGTAAAGCGCCCTCCCCGATGCTCCCCACAGCTCATTTCACTGTCAAGGCACCCGTTTCCCGGTCAGCCCCTGCCGAGCGCTCCCCCAGCCAATCCGGCCCAGCCGTGACAACTGCCAAGCAATCAGACGGGTGGCTCCAGTGAGAAAACCCTAGACCCCAAACGAGAGTCGGACGATAATACGCGTGTGTGCGGTGGTTGTGGCCGATTTCGCGCTCGTTGTCGTATTCTATGAGAACGTTTCTATTCTTGTTCCCGCTGCCCTGCATACACAGTACTCCTGTCTTGCGCACGTCCTGCAACGTTTTCATTTTGTTATTTCTGCATTGGCGTCTAATTCGCTCCTCTTGCTCTCCCTGCGTCTCAGGCAACCGTCCGTTATCAGTTGTCACTTTCGGCATGTTTGCTGGGGACTGGAATTCATAATCTTAACATCCATCTTCTCTGTGTTGTCTCCCGCAGGGCACAGGCCAATCATGAAATCCCCGGGCACGGCCACCACCACGGCAAGTTTCTCACGCAAGCACAGCCAGAAATAACACAAGAACCAGAAAAACAATAAATGCAATGCGACGCTTGCTGATGATCGCTAATGATCTGCCAGCCCGTATCGTCGGGAAGATGCAAATAGCATGGGTGGGCTGTAAAGGCCAAATGACAGCAGGGGTGGGCAAGGAGACAGGTGCCGATTCTGTGGCCGAAGAACGAAAATCAAAAGCACCTGCACGAGGCAAGTATGTACGCAACCACAGCGCGGCTCACACTCAGCTTAAAGCCACCAGTCAGACAGTCTCACGAAAAGGCGTGCACGGCATCGCCTATGGTATCTTAACTTGACCGTCGGACACGAGCGGCAGGTAAAGTTCGTGCGCCTCATGTACAAGGACACCGGTGCCCCTCGCAATGTCTAAAGTAAGACAGTAAGACTACTTTACACTCGAGCGTACGTGCCACATGAGAAACACGATACAGAAACCGTGCCTAGCGTTTGTTTCACCTCTCGAGAACACGTTAAAAGTTGAGAAAGTAGAGGCCGACAAAAAGCACATACTAGCAACGGAAAACTCCGGTTCAGGATCGTGGTCTATATATGGAAATAAAACGTTTTGATATAGCATTCATATCCTACACCATCGTACTATCTGGTATTATCGTCTGGTATTACACGGCAAAAGAACCCATCCGGGTACAAGTACAAATGCCCTTCATAGTCTTTCAATTACCCGCCCGCCACTACGGCCAGCCCGTCGTAGATCATCCGCTTCACCGCGTAGAACGTCCCGCCCACCTTGGTCGCCGGGCCGCCGTCAGACGGCAGGCCAATGCTCTCGACTTCGACGCGGCCCGTCGTCGTCTTCTTCACAGCCACGGACCCGTCAATCACGAGCGTGCCCTCGCCACGGAACTCGGCTGTATGGCCGGACGCCTGCATCGTGCGCCGCAGATCTGCCAGCCGCAGCTCGCCCACATGCAAGGGCTGTGTGCCGGCGCGTGCTGCCGCCAGAGCAACATTGCTCGGCAGCACGTCCAGCGTCGGCAGCTGCGCGTTGGGAGCATCTCCCGGCGCGGCGGACGAGGGTGCAGATGAGGGCGCTGCCACCGCGTGGGCACTTCCGCTGGCATCGGTCTTTTGCCGCTTGTTGGCGCCGGCGCTGCTCGCGTCGTCGGCTTCCTGGTTGTCCGCGTCGGCCGTGCTCTCCTCGCTTGCGGCCGGTGCATTGGCAGCAGGCGGCAGCGCCGCCAGCCCAGGTCGCAGCTGGCCCGTCATTGTCACGATGCCCAGGCCCCGTAGATTCTGCCACTTGAGCTTCTTGACCAGTGCGTCGGCCAGCTTGACGACCCACGCGTGCGTGTCCACGCTGGCATCGACGGCCGGACCGCCGACGCGCGGCAGCAGCACGTCGACGTCCGTCTCGGCGACGCCGCGGTTCGTGCTGACAACGCTGCGGTAGTGCGCGGCGACCGCAGCCGTCTCGGCCTCGCTGCCGCCCACCAGGATCAGCTTGCGCGGCTCGACGAGCGGCAGCAGAATCTCGAGGTTGCGTGCCGTGTGCAGGCCCGAGTAGTCGACGTAGGCGATGCGCAGCCGCGCAGGAACCGTTTCCGTGGTGGAGATGAGCTTGGCCGGGCCCAGCACGCTGGCCGTCGTGGCCGCTTCGGCCGCGTCGTCGCCGTCGTCGCCGTCCACATCGCTGTCGTAGAGGCCGCCGTCCTGATCGGCGCCGCCCCCCTCGTCGTCACTGCCGTTGCCACCACGGCCGCGGCGTTTCCCATCGGTAGAATCGCCCCGGTGGTGTCCGTTGCGGTTGCTGTTGTCCAGATTCGGTCGCTTGTTGTCGCCCTGGCCACGTCCTGTGGAGACACCGACGTCGTCCCACTTCCGCTTCCGGCCGAGCATCTCGGGGAGCAGTGTCGCTCCGTCGCTGTTCCTGCCGCTGGTGGCCTCGTGGGCCGCCTCTTCTTCGCGCTCCTCCTCACGCAGGTACTCGTCCGGCCGAATCAGCTCGCCAAAGTCGTCGTTGCGTTTGCGGCGCACCGGCACGGGGAAGATGCGCTCGCGGCCCTTCTTGCCGCGCACATCAAAGTCGTAGTGGCCCTTGCGTTTAATGAGAATGGTCACGCCCAGGTCCTCGTCACGCAACACCACCTTTTTGCGGCTGGCCTGGCCAATCGTCGTCGACACGTTGAGCACCTTGCCCTGGCGGTCGCCGTCCGACTCGTCGTCCGAGTCCGACGACGATTCCGACGAGACGTCGTCGGCGCCGTCCTCGAGCAAGGCCGCCATGCCACCCCCTAAATGGCCCGTGCCGCCTTCACCGAGTAGACTGGCGCCGAGGCCACCGCTGCCGGTTGTGGAGAGCTGCGTGGCCTGCAGCTGGCGCTGCGTGGCGAGCCACTGCTGGTAGAGCGCGAGCTCGGCACCTTCAAGAGCCACCTTGCGAGTGTCGCGGAACTCGAGCGGGCGGCCAGCGCCGTGGACGAGTCGGTCGCCAGCGTCCTCGGCGTTGGGGTTGCTGCCATCGCGCCACCACTCCCAGAGCGTGCGCGCCACAGAGGGCGGCCGGTCGTCGGCCAGGCGGCCTGGCACGTCTGTCAGGACAACCAGGTTTTGTGGGTCGTCGGCGATTCTCCGTAAAATCTCCTTGGAAAAGCCCCATTCAAGCGAGGCGTCGCTGGCGAGAATGACCTTGCCGCCGCCGGATGCTGGAGGCTGGCTGAGAACGCGGTCCACTTGCGATCGTCGCTCGAGAAGCCGCATGTGTCGAAAATCAAACGGACCAGCCTCTTTGGTCTTGCCGTCGTCACCAACACCACTGCCGCCGCGGCCATTCGCCTGCTTGGCGCCGTCGGCCACGGCTTCGAATTCCTGCACGATGCTGTCGTTCATCCATTCAAGGAGCGTCCGCGCGTGCCGCACCAGGCTGCCGGACGTGCGTCCGGCCAGGTACAGTTTGGACCGCGACAGGTTCTCGTCGCCGGACGCGCCGCCCGCCGCCGCCGCGTGGCGCCAGGCGTGCTCCAAGAAGTAGGCGAGCTCGAGAATCCGCGCCGTCGAGTCCACAGGGATCAGCACGGTGCCGCCGCGCACGACGCAGGTGCGAATGGTCTCGAGCAGATGCTCGTCCCGCAGCCCCGGGCGGTCCACCTGCGGCGTGCGGCTGCTGGACACGAGCGCTGTCGGCTTACGCAGCTGTTCCATGACCTCCGACCCGCCGCCATGGGCACCACCGATCCACGCAGCGCCCGCAAACACGTTCTCCTTGTACTGGCCCCAGTCCACGCCGTAGACGATCGACTCGAGGCCGAGCTGGATGTGCCACAGGGTGCCGCCCAACGTGCGGCCGGCATTGTATGCGGTAATGGTCAGGCCGTTGAGCGGCGGCAGGTTGGGCGGGGCCTGCGGCTGGTGTGGCTGCGAGTACTTGAGCTCGCGGATGAGGGAAAAGTAGCGCGTGATCTCGTCGGGCGTCGGCGCCGGCAGCAAGAACCGGCTGTGCTCGGCGGCGGTGGACTGCTCGTAGGAGTAGGCGACTTCGGTCAGAGACGTGCGGGGGATGATGGCCGCGGCGAGCGGCGTCGATGCGTACAGGTCTTGCAGCAGGGTGCGGCCGAGGTCGATGACGGGTCTCGTGGCAAAAATAGGGATGCGCGCAAACAGGGGGAAGTTCTTGCAGCAGTAGGCGAAGGCGGCGATGTGCGACACGGTGGCATGGGTCAGCAGCACCAGCGAAATGGTCGGCACCTGCTTCTCGAGCTCGCGCAGCTTCTCGGCGTCAAACGACTCGTCCCAGCCGACGTCGACGAGCACCTTGACGCCGCCATCGAGCTCCAGCAGCGACTGCGAGGCTGTCGACTCAGACCGCGCCCCCTGCAGGGGGCAGAACGTGAACATGGCGGGGTGCGGGTTACCGCCAGCTCATTCTGCGGTGCAGTACGACGGATTAAGCCGGTTGACGTGGTGTCGATGTATGTGTGCGTTGTGTCTCGGGATACGTTGAATGACGGTTCGCGGAAGACGATGGACGTGAAGCTTCAAGGGCAGATCGCGTCGCCGCTCTGCGTTAGCGCATTTTCTGCCGCAGCCTCACCAGCGCAGGCAAATGGCAGCTGTGACGTCCCAGCGCGCCTTCCCGCCCCAAACGCCCGGAGCGGATTAACTCCTCGGGACGACATCGTGTCCAGAACAGCGCCGCTCTGGCCAGGCCCCAGGCGCGCCTTCCTCCATTCTCGTCCCTGAATTGGATCGCTGGACGACCCCACTTGCCCCTGCTGGAAGGAGCCATTTTGTTCTTTTTTTGCTCCGCAAGGCAGGCGCGCCCGCGCTGAAGTCAGGGGCTTGTCTTGCGCCGTTCAGTCGCTCTTTCCCCCACTAGCAGTCCGCTAATCCGTTGACCCAAACCACCTAACAGACTCAAAACCACCACTATCACGTCCTACGGCCTAAAAGGGGCTTCTGCGAGCAACGTGTCCAACCTTCTGCCACCACATTTTAGCCACCACCACCACCGCGCTTGACCAGGCTGTTCGAAGAGAAGAGAGCTGCTTCGTACTTTACCCTCGGCAACGACTGTCTCGCGATATCCAATTCCTTCAGTAGCATGGACAGACCGGCTCCAACACGTCTGTCGACCGTCTGTTGAGCTTTTTGTTTTCTCTTCTTTTGTCTTTTGTCTTTTGTCTCTCCACCCTCTTTTTGTGAGCTTTCATAGCTCCCGATCGCCCGCTCTCCCGATCCTCCCCGTGTCCCTCTCTGTCGTTTTTGTGTCCTGACCTCTCGACGTCGTCGGCCTCACACGACAGTGCCTCCGTCTCTGCCGCTGCCATGGCCGACTACGCCATGTTCCACGCCCTCGGCCAGGGCGAGCAGCTCGACCCCAACGACCCCCGCCGAACGACACAGCCCGCAGCCCCGACTTTTGCCCGCCCATTGCTCCCCAGCCGTATCAGCAGCAGCAGCAGCAGCAGCAGCAGCAGCCGTACCAGCAGGCGTATGGGCAGCCTCAGCAAGGTCAGCCGGGCTATGGAGTGCCACCAGCCGGTCTGGGACAACCTGCCTATGGCGGTCAAGCTCCGTATATGGGCACACCGTCGCCCGCCGGGCAGGGCTTTGGTGCGCCGCCACCTGTCGCTGGACAAGCAGCAGCCGGGCCAGGTGCCGAGGACGGTGGCCTTGCAGCGCAAATGGGTGGCATGACACTGGGTCCCGACGGCCACCAGACCACGCGGAAGAAGAAGAAGGACCGGCACGCGTATCACCATGTCGAGGCACCCGTGGGCTCGTCTATGGGCTTCTCGGCCGCTGCCATGTCCGGAGGACCTGTGCCAGGCGCACCAGGCGCACCAGGCGTCCCAGGCGTCCCAGGCGTTCCCGGTGCACTTGGCTTTGATAACGGGCCCATCACACCCCAGATGAACCAGTTTCCGGCCGCTGCCAGCGCCCCCTTTACGCCCGCCAACCCCACCGACCCGGCCAGCTTTGGGGCCCGTGGTGCTGTGGCCGAGGCAGGATCGGTGCCTGCCATGGTGCCCGCATCCGGCCACCAGAAGGTGTCCGCCGACGATATCCCCAGCGTTCCTCTGTCGCGCGACTCGTTGCAGCAGCACTTCTTGACCAACGTCTACCCGACCTTTGAGCGCCACGTGCCGCCGCCTGCCGCCATCTCCTTTGTCGCCTACGACCAGGGCAACTCCTCGCCCAAGTACACCCGTCTCACCATGAACAACATCCCCTCCACCGCCGAGGCGCTCCACAGCACCGGACTGCCGCTCGGTCTGTTGGTGCAGCCCCTGGCGCCCCTGCAGGCGGGCGAGCAGCCCGTGCCCGTGCTCGACTTTGGCGAGTCTGGCCCGCCGCGGTGTCGGCGCTGCCGCGCGTACATCAACCCGTTCATGGTCTTCCGGTCCGGCGGCAACAAGTTTGTCTGCAACTTGTGCACGTACCCCAACGACACGCCGCCCGAGTACTTTTGTGCCACCTCCCCGCAGGGCGTGCGCGGCGACCGCGACCAGCGGCCCGAGCTGTCGCGCGGCACCGTCGAGTTTGTCGTGCCCAAGGAGTACTGGACCAAGGAGCCCGTCGGTCTGCGCTGGCTCTTCCTGATCGACGTCACGCAGGAGTCGTACAACCGCGGCTTCCTCGAGGCCTTTTGCGAGGGCATTCTGGGCGCGCTGTATGGCGGCGAGGACGAGGTGGACGACAACGGCGAGCCCAAGCGCCGCATCCCGCAAAATGCGCGCGTCGGTTTCGTCACGTACGACAAGGAAGTGCACTTTTACAACGTGGCAGTAAGTCCCAACCTTGCCGAAAAATGTAACAGATCCATCCGCGTTTCACGCATTAACACCATTGTAGTCCAGTCTTGAACAGGCGCAGATGATGATCATGCCCGACATCGAGGACCCCTTTGTTCCCCTGAGCGACGGCCTGTTTGTCGACCCCTACGAGTCCAAGGCCGTCATCACCTCGCTCCTGACGCGCCTGCCGCAAATGTTCTCGACCATCAAGAACCCCGAGCCGGCGCTCCTTTCCACGCTCAATGCAGCCATCTCGGCACTCGAGGCCACAGGCGGCAAGGTGGTCTGCGCCGTGTCCTCGCTGTCGACCTGGGGCCCGGGTCGCCTCTTCATGCGCGACGACGGCAAGCACACAGGTGGCGAGATGGACAAGAAGCTGTACACCACCGAGCACCCGGGCTGGCGCAAGGCCGCGGAGCGCATGACGTCGGCCGGCATCGGCATCGACTTCTTCCTGGCGGCGCCCGCCGGTGGCTACCTCGACGTGGCCACGATCGGCCACGTGTCATCAACGACGGGCGGCGAGGCGTTCTACTACCCCAACTTTATCGCGGGCCGTGACAACGCCAAGCTGTCGATGGAGGTCAAGAACGCCGTGACACGCGAGACGGGCTTCCAGGCGCTCATCAAGGTGCGCTGCTCCAACGGCCTGCAGGTGTCCAACTACCACGGCAACTTTGTGCAGCACACGCTGGGCGCGGACCTGGAGGTGGGCTCCATTGACGCGGACAAGGCCATTGGCGTGACGTTTAGCTACGATGGCAAGCTGGATACGAAGCTGGACGCGCACTTCCAGTCGGCGCTTCTGTACACGACGGCCGACGGCCAGCGGCGCGTGCGCTGCAGCAACATCATTGCGAGCGTCAGCGAGAGCACGCGCGAGAGCCTCAAGTTTGTCGACCAGGACGCCGTGTACGGCATCCTGGCAAAGGAGGCGGCCACCAAGCTCGCGAGCACGTCGGCCAACCTCAAGGACACGCGGAACTGGCTGACCGAAAAGACGATTGACATTCTGGCCGGCTACCGCAAGCACCACGCCTCGGCCTCGGTACCGCCGAGCCAGCTGATCATGCCGGAGCGCCTCAAGGAGTTCTGCATGTACATGCTCAGCCTGCTCAAGTGCCGCGCGTTCAAGGGCGGCAGCGAGACGGGCGACCGCCGCGTTCACGAGCTGCGCATGCTCCGGTCCATGGGCGCGCTCGAGCTCAGCCTCTACCTCTACCCGCGCATCCTACCGCTGCACAACCTGCAACCCGAGGAGGGCTTCCCCGACCCGGAGACGGGCCACCTGCGCATGCCGCCGGCGATGCGCGCCACGTTTGCCAAGGTCGAACCGGGCGGCGTCTACCTGGTCGACAATGGACAGCAGTGCCTGATTTGGCTCGAGAAGCAGACCTCGCCCAACCTGATCCAGGACCTGTTTGGCGAGGACAAGGACAAGCTGCAGTCGCTCGACCCGTACATGTCGTCGCTGCCCGTGCTGGAGACGCACCTCAACGCGCAGGTGCGCAACATGATTGAGTTTTTGAAGACGCTGCGCGGGTCCAAGGGCCTGACGATCCAGCTGGCGCGGCAGGGCCTGGACGGCGCCGAGTTCGAGTTTGCGCGGATGCTGGTGGAGGACCGCAACAACGAGGCCCAGAGCTATGTGGACTGGCTCGTGCACATCCACAAGGGCGTGCAGATGGAGGTATGTACAACGTCGTAATGTTCTCAGTTCTCAGTTCTCAGTTCTCTTCGTCGTCTTTTCTGTCCGTCTTTTCTGTCCGTCTTTTCTGTCCGTCTTTTCTGTCCGTCTTTTCTGTCCGTCTTTTCTGTCCGTCTTTTCTGTCCGTCTTTTCTGTCCGTCTTTTCTGTCCGTCTTTTCTGTCCGTCTTTTCTGTCCGCTTTTTTTTCTGCATTACTAACACGTCCCAGCTTGGTGGCCAGAAACGAAAGGACGAGTCCAGTGAAGCCTCGAGTGTGCTGGGCTCCTCGTTTGGCGGTCTTCGGCCGGCATACTTTTGAGGGAATACTCGACAAAAAGGGGTGAGGGTGGGGGTGTAGACAGGGATGTCCAAAAACAAAAAACTGCAGTTTTCATTCACATTGGGTAGGAGAAGCATTGTTTTCTTTCTTCGTTACGGGACGCAAAAGGAGGCGATACAAAGGAGGTGGTGCAGTGGAAGAGGAGTTAGACACGGGCCGTTTTGTGTTTGTGTCGCGGGTATCATGTCTGTTTTTTTTTGTCCTCATTTTCTATTGTTGATTTGATTTCCAGATGTCATTTTATCTACCCCTGATTTGCTTTTTCGACTCGGCAACATACTTTACGATAAAACAATAAGATACATATTCAAATGACGGACGACATAGTGATTTTCCAGAACAAAAGTCAGGGGAGTCAAAAATCAATAATTATAGCAGAATAGGTAGAGCGGAAAAGCGGCAGATGGTTAAACAACACGCACATATTGTATGTCGTATGATGCTGTCCAATGTCGAACAGACTCCACGTCCTCCACTATCTTTAGATGTTTACTTAGAAATCCATTGAAGCTCGAAACGGCCACTGGGACATGATATGCAGCTGAGATCTCCGGCCTGAGGAGATGGCAGGGAGGAAAGAAGGGATAATAGGCTCAGGCAAGGCCTTTGGGGCCCCAAATAAGACAGAAACAGCTCCATGTTGCGCGCTTTGGCACCATGATGACATAAACAGGATAGACAAGCAGGACACCGACCAGTCAGATGCTCCGTTCATGTGCGGGATGCCCGGGTCTCCCAGCCTTTCGGCCTCCGAAATAAGATAGAACTTGAAAAAAGGAAAGAAAAGTGCACAATTTTATTTTTATTCTCTCCCCTTGACTCGTCCTTCTTATGGAATTGGCTCCGACTCCCACCACTACCTAATCAAATCAAGGCGATGTAAAGTAATTAAGTAGGGCTTGCAGAATTCAACAGAAGGGGTGAACATATCAAAATCCAGAACAAAAACAAATGGAATGATCCAGACCCCACGGTCTCCCCCACGCCCACGTATGCCTCTATGTGAACTATTTCACATGCAACGCAAGATACAGTTAGTTTGCCGACCGAGGAGCTAACTTTGACTGACAGCAAAAGGGACCAACAGATGGACTAAATCAAGGGCTAGGCATATATGAATCCATGTCTTGCACGAACCCCATCAGTTCATGGAAGGTACAGAGGGTAATGGGACACGCTCGATGCAGAGCCCTTGCTGCCGTCATTGGCTCCCGGGGAATGCAAGTGAACGTTACCCGGTAATGCTGATCCCGTTGCTGATCCTGCATGTTGACTGTTGGTCCATTTTCGGCAAGACTGAAATTGGGCAAGGAGAAAGAAAGATTAAAGAAAGACCAAAAAAATGAAAATAAAAGGTTAAAATAAACAAGCGCTGCATCCAGCCTACCTCAGCCGCAGCATCCTGGTACCCTTTGGGCGTGTCTCGCACCCAAAGAACTTGCTCGCGGCGTTTTTCTCATCGCCGACCACCGTGGCCGTGTACCATTGTGAGCTGACGCCTGGCCTGCCCTTTTTTTGTCTGTTGGGTGGCGAAGGGCCGTCCGTACTTTTATGTTTGTTTCTTTTTGCCTCCTTTTTTATTTTCTGTTGATAGTGATGGACGAACCATCCCTAGCAAACCAGTTCGATATCGTACCCGCCCATTTTAAGACCACGAGTGTACGTACCCCTGACGGGTCGATGCTGCACTATTGGTTCGGTAATGGAATCCTAGCGAATAACAGATGCTAGTACGACGCATGTGCCAGGCCTGCAGATACAACGATACAACAACTTTGTCTGACATTCAACGGCGAGCGCCAAAACGGCTCCCACTGGAGGGGGACATGGGAAACACATACTGTAGTGTCAGAGAGACCGAAATGACGCATAAAGCCGTACTATCGAATATGCTTGTGTTGCTCTGAATTTAAGCAGGTATCTTAGCCACATGTGTGTCAAATAGGGAGCCAGAGGCCGAGGATGTCGTAACACTGCGAGATTGTTTTGTGCCCCAAAAAATCCCGCCCGTCTGGGTGTCATATTAATCGTACGGATATAGTGCTCCAGACAACGGCACCGGCCAGGGATGATCAAGGGTCAGGGTGCCATTGGGCCTACGTGGGGACCAGAAAAAGGAAGCATGAGAGAAACGACACATGAATTGTTTTGGGAATTTTAAATATGGAAAGGGGAAACGAGGGGTGGTGGGATACGGCTGAAACCTTTTTAGGGTGTAAGCTGAAAGCTGTCGTGGAATGGCACCAATGAGACACCATGATGAGGTTGAAGGGGACTGAGAAGGGGAGGGATGAACAGAGCGATGGCGACCGCTGAAGTTTTGGGACTTGACGAGAAAATGTAAAATTCAACAGCCCGGGGGAAAAAAGAGCGAATAGCAAACCGAAAACGATGTGATGTGACAAGAAAACAGATTGACAGCGACTATTAATATCCAGAAACAAACAATACTCCTGTGCTGCTGTAGACGAAAGATGTCTTTAATTTACAAACGAGGCTCACCCTCCTTTTCAAAATGCTACTTTATCCTGCTTGCTTATTTCCATCCTATTCTCGCAGTTTTCAAAGTATTCCTCAAACCCATGCGTCCTATTTGGAATTTACACTCGTGAAAGGGTGTGAGAAGGTCAAAATCGGGCAACAAGGGATGCACAATGTAAATAAAACACTCATACAATCATGCGAAATGCACTCCATTTTTGCACTTTTAACGATGCTACTTATGTGTAAGAATAGCTGGTTCGACGGATATGACAAACTTGAGAACAACGAAAGGCGGTGGCAGTTTTTTTTTTTAGTTTTTTTTTTAAAAAAAAGTATTGTCGGTACAGATCTTGGTTCGGATTGCCTAGGACCCAACACTCCGGGAGTAAAGATCAACATATTCTCTGGATCTCGTTCTCTCCAACTGGTTTATTATTTTGGATTTTACCAACCAGTCTTTGTCGATATGACACGTCACAATTCGAAGTCAGCTGCGCAAATGGCTTTTCAGCTCTGTCTCCCATTTCCATACCATCCCATTTGGAGTACCAAGCGTCTGTTGGCACACTGGGACGCCGTACTGGGACGCCGTCAACAGATGCAACAGTCCGCCCCCCGATGTGATCCCATCTTCCCAGTTATACTTCTGATCTGTTCACAGGCTCGGCAGACTGCCATTGCAGACTGCCATTGCATGCTGCCATTGCAGGTTCAGAAAATCCCCCACCCGGTTAAGGAGCAGTACCAGATCCACGGGAAGCATATTTGCGGTTATTCTACTTGTTGAGGAGCCGTGCGGTTCTCCGTGGTTTGCGGCTACGGCGACGTATTTTCGGTGACATCCTTTTTCTCTTTTTGAATATATGTATCATGTCTCGCACCCTCTACGTTGTATTGTAGGAAGGCTCTCTCTCTGGCATCGGATCCGCGCACTTTCTTTTTCTTTTGCTTTCCTTCTCGTTCATTCCTTTACAACTCTGCGACGCACCCTCTCCGGCATGTGATGAGCGCTGCACCCTGCTTGGTGAATAATGGCACCACAATGGGCATCAGATCACTTGGTGTGGGTGTGTACTTACAGGAAAGCGTGGGATGGTTTGTCAGACTGCTCCAAAACAAATACGGAACAGGAGGGTGTGCTACGAAGGCTTGGCTGAACCTGCAGCCGCACAACCTCGACCAACGATGAGGGCGGAATACGAAAGAGAGACAAGCACAGACTACCCAGCTGACGGCCGCCCTTCTTCTAGCCACACTGCCCGAGCCTGTAAACTACGTATTACTATTTCCCTTTCGCCCTCGCTTCACGCTTTTGGCATATGTCCGTCTCGCCTCGCGAATCTGGTAGAGGATTGTGCCTGTCTTCCCTGTCTTCTCGCCTCGTCTCGCACTCGCTTCGCGCTCGCCTCGTCTCGGCTCCCATCCGGTCTTCCTTATTTTGTTTCCCTTTGGTCTGAAGCCTGCAGTGTTCCGCTTGTAGAGTTGTGGCGTTCCGACTTTCCGGCCTTGACCCAGGGTACCCGGCCTTGATGCTGAGACCAGGCTCTTCCGATATTTTTACAGCCCACCGCACAAAGCAGTGTATCTGCGTTTTGCTCGTGTCGATTCTCACAATGGATTCATCGGCTGGTCCATTCTATTTGATATAGTGCTATAGTGATATCAGAATGCATTGTCTCAGTCTGTCTTCACTTGTCCGTTTCCATCGGAATGTTCTGCACGCCTCACTTTGCCAAAGGCGCATGCTGGGACGGGGCTCGGCCTCTGACAGCCTCGCGAACTGTTGTTGCATTGCCTGTTGTTGTATTTGAATTGCCCTGCAGCGGCTACTAACCCGTAGCGCCCGACCAGCGACGGTCCACTTTTGTTTCCTTTTTGCTTTTCCTTACTTTTCTTATTCCAAACATTGAGTGGGGGACAGAAAGAAGCAGGCAATTACTGGATGCGATTAGGATGCTCATTCGGTAGTGTTGTGGCGTTAGGTCACTGCCTGTTCGTTCCTTCCGCATCTAGCCCCTTCCAACAAACAGACGGTGCGTTTCCTATTCGACAGACAGCTTACAGAATCCACAAGTCCGGAGCGATCATGCTCTCTCTAGTATGCGATTCGTGTTCAAAAGTAAGAATAGTTCGGCAAACTATTTCGTGCTATCAAAGAGGCAGTTTCGTGTGCACTTTTCATCTGAAAAGAGTCAATCATCCCAAGTAATGTCGAGTGGAGCGCGCCGTGCCGACACTGATGAAAAGCGGAAGGAACGAGCAAAGGCAGGCACGAAGGAGGGAATCAGGGGGGCATAAACAAACATCAAAAGGGCAAAATAAAATAAAAGAATTCAAAATTTATAAAACAAAACAATCCTATATTCCAGACCGTTGAATCTAACCGAAATGTACTCCCTGTGAAAGAAAAGGAAAGCGTGCCCGCGAACATTGCTCATTTATACCCCCGGCCGAATTGCCGTCCCTGCCAAAAAAAAAAAAAAGAAGAAAATAAAGAAAAGAGAAGACATGGCCATTGCCAACGTTCAATTACATTGGGCTCATCAACGTCTCGAGGTCATACCGTGGATCGGGCTGCGACACAGCACGTTCGATCTCGTCGCTGCTGAAGACGTACTGGAAGATGTCAAAATCGGCGGGTGAGGAGGACGAGGAATTGGAAGACGATGAGGACGATCCCTTGGAAGACGACGCCTTGCCGTGCCGGCTCTTTTTGGAAAGGTCGTCGAGAATGAGCTGGTGGGTGCTCTGTCGCGTATCATCAAAGACAAAGGCCACCGCCTCGAGGCGGCCCCGGAGGTCGGCGTCCCACAGAATGACTTCGCGCCACAGCTCGGCAATCTCCTGGGGCGGGTTCCGGTAGCCATTGCCGAGCCCGAAGTCGCCAACGACAACGGACGTGTAGCCGCGGGCCACGCAGATGTACAGGGCGGCACGCAGCTTGCGCTTGACCATGTCGCGTTCTTCGGCAAAGGAGTACTTGGTGCCCATCTGCGTCAGCTTGGGCCACCGCACCGGTGGCACCGAGCAGACGGGCAGTACACCCCACTCGGTGGGCGGGAGCTTCTCGTAGCGGTCGTGCGGGGCACGGAAGATGACTACCTCGTCCGACAGGATGCCGCCCTCGATGGGGATCGGGTAGTTGGTCTGGCTGTAGCTGCCGGCCGAACCGGGCTCCGGTGTGGCCAGCGTGGCCGACAACGTGCTCCGGCGGCACAGGCGCTCTTCGCTGCCGTTCACGCCCGTCTCCCAGTCACCACCGGGGCGCTTGTCGTTTGCGGAGCAGATGAACGGCACGACCACGGGCTCGCCGGCGTCGCTGGACATGTGGCTGGCCCAGTCCATGGCTACCGAGGCCGGATCGCCGTCGCGGACATAGAAAACGGGCACGCGCCCAAAGGGACGGCCGAAGCCCTCCAGCGAGAGTTCGACGAGAGGCTGTGGGAAGAGGATCGAACTCGTCTTGTAGATGTGGGCGTAGCTGTTCTTGATGAGCGGGATGTAGTTGCGGCGCGTGTCGGCGGCCACTTCAGAAGCCTTCGGCTTAGACTTTGACGTTGAGCTAGGCATTGCTATACAAGAGGTAGGAGTAGAACTAGAGGAGATATTGTAAAGGCGAGCAGACGAGAGGGCGATAGGTGACAGGTAAAGAAGATGGCATGGGAGTATGAGCAAGTGGCGAGGGTAGGAAAAGACGAGGCTCTTTATGACTCTTTATAGAGCGGACGAGGCGTTCCTGGAGATGATCCTTTCCTCTATGATATCAAAGAAACGGACGAAGACGGCTAGAGCCAGGCAACGACAAGGCAGGCAACTGGCAATAGAAGCAAGAGGGATGCAAGACAAAAGAGAAAGAAGACAATAAAAGAGTGACAAATGTGGGAGGGTGGAGGAGGGGTGTGTATCTTTGCTACAGGCACAACGGGGCCATACTTGAAGGTTGATGGAAAGGATGAAAAAGAAACTGACAACTGACAAGAGCGTGGAAGGGAGAGAAGGAGGGGGGGTGAGCGAGCTTAAAAAAGAAAGGAAAAAGCAAAGAAAGCAAGAGGTATCCCGAATGAGAAAACGAAAATAAGGATAAAAAAAGTGTTGTGAAGGCAGTAAGACAAACGGCAAAGGAAAAGAAAAAGCCGAGAAGCAAGAGACCGAAGCTGGCAAGAATGACCTAAATGGGAAAAGAGATGCACTTTTGGCCTCAACAACGCTGCCACCATCTATCAGTGCATTCCTGCTCCGCACTGTGTGTGTCTGTTCTTCTCAGGTCGCCCAACTTATCGGGTCAGGCTGATCTGTCTATCTGTCCATGTTGCCTCCACCGTCCAGCTCGATTTTGTCTGTATTGCGCAGTCAAGCGAGGGGGCAGTCTTAGAAAGGGAGGCCGCCTTTCCACCTGGCTCGGAATATCAAGGGCTCCTCCGTACGAGAACTTCAACGTAATCACCCGTAACGAGAAAAACAGACACGCCGAGGACGTTGTCATAATAGAAATAGCATCGTACCGAGCAGGAACAGACGAAAAACGACAAACGACAAATGACCGGTGGCAGACGACATACGGCCTCAGCGTCGGGAAAGGACCGTTAGTTCGGAGGTTTTTCGTCTTCTCTTTTAGGTCTTTGCCCTTGCATATTTGTTTCTCGACGTGAGCCTTGTCTTTCTATCTGCCTGTCTCTGTCTGGGTTGTCTGTAAACGGTTCGCGGTCTCCAAGCGAGTGGTTGACATCTTGTGCGACCAGAATGTCAGTGAGCCCTCCTTCTCTTAGTAGCAAGAACGTTTAAACTAGGGTATCTCGCTGAACGTTCGTACGGGAAAGAAACGAGGGACGACAAGCGGGGGGGCGAGTTGCAAATGAGATATTAGCCGTCATCCCACGAACCGAAACTACAGAACCACAGCACGACAGAAACACAGAACTACGGACCACAGACCACAAACCACAGATTTTCACAGAACCCACAGCCTCTCAAGCTGTGGGGTGCAGGGGGGCGATCGATGCTTGGTAGCAGATTTCCAGCTGGATGGGACAAGACAAGGGTCACCAAGGGACACTAGAAGTTGACTAGCAGGGGCGGAGAGCGAGGCGCCGGATCTCAAGAGGATCAGACACTTTGAAAAACACGGGCTAGTGAACAGCACGAACGGCACACACCTGAACTCTGCGCTGGAACAGGACAAGCGATGGTGAACCCGCCGTTCGAGGAATGCTGTGGCCGCGAGGCGCTAGGCCGAGGATGAGGTGGGAGGGAGGGTATGGGTGGATTGGGTGCATGGGACGAAAGGGATGTGCAGGAGAAGATGGAAGGTGTGAAAATACGATCGGAAGACATAAAACGGACAACGCTGGGAAAACAAGAAACAACGCTCTAGTCGGCCGGAAGACGAACCCCTGGGGCGGCTACTGGCAGCTGGTCCTGTTGGTGGCTTCTTGTTTGGTTTTTTTTTTTTTTTTTTTTTTTTTTTTTTTTTTTTTTTTTTTTTTTTTTTTTTTTGCACATATAGTTTGATATTACGTCGCATTGTTGATGTTGATCGAGCCAGACGCATGACGTCCCAATGTCCCGGGTTCGCAAGTTACCAGTAACCGTGTAGTGACCGGCCGTTCGTTTTGTCTTCTTGTTCGGGATTCCTACGTTTATTTTTCTTGAGTTTTTCTTTTTGTTTGTTTTGGTCCTCCCCCCCCCTTCCCTCCTTTACCACTTCCCCTATTTCTGTCGATCGCAAGGAACGCGGGTTACCACATTTCCCTTTCTTTCGTTTCTTTTTCCCAGCTGCGCTGCCGTTCATTTCTTTCGCGAAGAAAAGATGGTTACAAAATGCGCCGTCATTTACAATTTTGCCCAACTTTTCTAGTGGAGTGTGCCTCATTCTAGCTCATCCTTTTTTGCTTTAATCTCGTTCCTCTTTCCACCACACACTTTTCAGCTGGCAAGGTTGGTGAGCTGCTTCACTTACAGAGGGATCTACCGCAGGGGGGTCGAAGTAATGGGGTAGCTGGTACTGCCGCGAATTTCTGGCTATCTGAATCTAGCGTTTTGGCTAGAGCAGGTACAGCACATGGGGATTGTTGACCTGTTCCACAACTGTGGACACGGCAGCCGCAGAGTGCGCGATCTCGTCCATTGCAATCTGAATTGGCAATCTACTTTATAGACAAAAGATTGAGCGTTTCGCAAAGCTTATAAATGCAGCCGAACGTTGACCGGGATTCGTATGTAAAGGGATGGGGGGGGAGGGGGGGGAAACGAAGACAAATACGAATTAAGGGGAGGCGATAAACGGTAAAAAGGAGGCTCTACAATCGGAATAATGTGGGCCTGTTTCGAACGAAGCGAGAACGATGGCTGTGGCAAGAGACCAGGACATTGGAAAAAGAACAGTCGTAGGAGAGGGTCATAACAGAAAGCCGAGATACAAATGCGCGGGCTGCAAAGCGAGAGCGAGGTGAAGAGAGCCAGGTAAAGCGAGATCAAAGCAAAACATGATAGCCAAGGGTCTCTCTCTTCCTCACTTTCGGTGCAACTTTTCTGAACGGCCGGGCGAGTAAGTCAACATGTCGCGAGCGCATTCGGAGGCAGCTGACGCAGAGCAGAGGCAGCTGAGCGTCTGGGCAACAAACATGCCGAGCCGAAACAGCCAGGGAAAGGTGAGTGATTACACCTCTTGGGAGTCAGAGCAGAACAAAATTCGAGGGGACGGGGCCACTGATAGACACGGTCAAACAGACACTGTCGACTCCGGCTGAATTGTAGCAGTTGAAGTGACAATCTTTACATGGACGTAAGTCACTCCAGGAATAGAACTTCAAACCCATGCATGCACAGGCAAATAAAGCCCTTATTGGCACCGGGCGAGACAGACCATTTCTCACCGGTTGGGACGGAGTGCAGCCCCGGGGCCGACACGAACGCGAACGGGACGAACAATAGACGTTAGACGTTCTGTTGCATCTGAAAAGAAGGGAAGAGAGTAGAAATAAAAGATGTGAAGATTTGCCGTCCAAAAAACGGTATGAGCTTGCGAGCGGGCATGGTTCGTGCGAGTCGATTTGCGAGGCGTTCATCAGTGGGGTCACGTTTGGTCAGGCCAGCTGAGAATTGTGTGGGGTGAGAATGAGCGTAAAGGGAGGAGAAAACTATAATGTAAAAACGAAATCAGAAACAAGTGAAAGCACGTTTGTTTGCAAGAGTGTTCCAAGGTACGAATGTATGTCTAAAAATACGATGTGTTAGGGACTGCACAATAAAGTATCAGAATACAACTGAAAAATAAAGAGGCCACACTAAGCTCACAGCATTCTTGGGGCAGTATTTTCTGATAACTGATCGCACAATCAAAATGCGTGCTCATCTATCAGACCAGGCCATCGTTCTCAGCATTTCTATGATTTTCTTCTTCCGCGTTTCTTTTCTTCTTGTAGTAGTCCAGATCAAAGGTTACATGGAGCGGGCAAAACAAGCACAGCGTGGAATGTGACATACCACTTCGATACAGTCGTAAGTTGGAGAGGAAGTAAAAAACGAAAAAAAGAAGCCACGAAATGGAATGTACGAAATACAGAACAAAGGCAAAGACCTTGATAACAGATTTGGAGGGGCGTGAGGAAAAGGGGAAAGGATAGAATGGGAATAGAACGGCCGCCCACTTGATCACTTCTTGGCCAATTGGGTCGTCTGCCGGGACATTCCCAAGCTCGGAACAGACACAATCCGGTAAATTGGCGGGGCCTAGAGGCATGTGACGACCAAAAGCGAAGGACACAAAGGGAAGGAGGTTCCTAGCTCACGGTTCGGAAAGTGTGCTGGAAGCATTACATGGTACAAAATGCGCCTTCAAGATACATTCTAACCTAGGATACCGACGGCTGAAAATGCCCATGAATCTCGCAACAATCACGATGCGACTACCAGCGTCCAAGACACGACAGACGTCGGAGGCATCCTAGAGATACCGATCGATTGGCCAATATGACAAGGCAGGCGAAGCAGGCTGACAGGCAACAAACGCGGCTCGCCAAACGGAGTAATGGAACAAGGAGCAAGGAAAAGCGGGGCTAGCGCTGTAGATTGGAGTACCAAGTGAGCTGAAAAGTAAAGCGCAAACAACATATGCCGTTCCCCAGAAACATCACGAACGACAAGACGATCGGATGGGATCTCCATGGGCGTTGCTACCCGGCCACTTGGCGCGGGCGATCACATACCGCGCGGCAGTGTAGCGGGTCCGCCGTGAGACCTCTCAAGAAAAGAGGGAGCCGAGGAAGCTGGGGGAGGAGTCGAAAAGATGAGAACGTAAGATACTGTGCAGTTGACGTTGTCAGCAGATGGGATGGCTGTCACCGACGTGCTTTCCCGCGTTGTCAGTTCAAGCTCGCGACGGGAAGGCCTCACGGAACGTGCCGCGTCGTGTCACAACTAGGAAGGCGCGTTTGGCGTGTTGTTAGCGTTCGCATTGGGCAGGTGCCAGGGGATAGCTGCAAACACCAAGCTATCGTTCCTGCCCGGCGTGCCACGTAAGGCGGAAAAACACGGCAGAATAATTTTGGAGCTAATGCACTATGGAAAGTACGACCAATGCATCATAGCTGCCAAAGCGGCAGACTGATGATTCACACATCTGCGACAGCTCTTGAGCCTCGTGCTCCGACCAGTTGGCACAATGCGGACCCGGATCTCCTCTACACTACGGACGGCCCCTCTACGGGCATCTTCTGCGTCCTATGCAGCAACGGCGTGCTCGTCGGCCGCCGCAGCACGGACGATAACCACAATGCCCTCATCGTCCTCCTCCTCCTCCACAACCTTTGCCCGGCCCCGGCCAAGACGTCCCTCCGCACGATCCCGGCGGCCGCTTCTATTCTCCTGCTCGTTCTCGCAGCAGCATTGTCTGCAGGCCGCACAATCGTCGCTCTCCTCCGACACCCCGACATCAGTCGCCGGCTTTCTCGAATGGGCCCCGGCCGAAGCTGTCCCGGGCGTCGTTGTCCATGGCTTCGTCCGGTCCGTGCGCACGATGAAGAAGTACACCTTTGTCACGCTCGGCGACGGCTCGTCTCTGGCAGCCATGCAGGCCGTAGTGCCGGCAGAGCTGCTGGCAGCATCAGCGGTGGCGAAAGTGGGTGAAGCACCCATCACCAACGGTTGTGCCGTCCGCTTGGAAGGCGCCTGGACACCGTCACCCGGTGCCGGCCAGAGCCATGAGCTGCACGTCACGGCGTTCCAGGTGGCCGGACCCTCGGACGCCAAGACGTTTCCGATCCAGAAAAAGTACCAGACCCCCGAGTTTTTGCGGACACTGCCGCACCTGCGGCCGCGCATCCCCCTGAACACGACGCTGCTGCGGTTCCGGTCGGACGTGGTGGCGTCGCTGAATCGGTTCTTTGCAGAGCGGGCGTTTGTGCAGACGCACCCGCCACTGATCACGTCGTCGGATTGCGAGGGGGCGGGCGAGGTGTTTACCGTGACTGCGGGCCCGTCGTCGTCGACGACGACAGCGACCTCGCCCGACAATGAAGAGAGCCACTTCTTCCGCTCGCCAAAGTACTTGACCGTATCGACACAGCTCCACTTGGAGGCGCTGGCGCAGTCGCTCGGCAATGTCTGGACGCTGTCGCCGACATTCCGCGCCGAAGCGAACGACACGCCGCGGCACCTGAGCGAGTTCTACATGCTGGAGGCCGAGGTGAGCTTTGTGGACCGGCTGGACGGCGTCATGGACCTGGTGGAGGACATGCTGCGGCATGTGGCCACCGAGAACCGCGGCGGCCGGGCGTACACGGAGCTGGTGGCAGCTGCCACGTCGGCCAAGTCCAAGGCCCACGACAACGGCGAGGAGGCAGTGGACCTCGAGACGCGCTGGTCGGGCCTGCTGTCGGCCGCGCCGTGGCCGCGCATCACCTACGCCGAGGCCCTGCGCATCTTGAGTGACGCGCCGACCGGCACATTTGAATTTACGCCGGCTTGGGAGATGGGCCTCATGACGGAGCACGAGCGGTACCTGGCGCGCGTCGTCGGCGGGCCCGAGGCTGCACCTGTGTTTGTCACCCACTACCCGCGCGCCAGTAAGGCATTTTACATGCTGCCCACGGACGCAGAAGGACCAGCAGACGCGTCGGCCGATACGGTGGACTGCTTTGACTTGCTGGTGCCCGAATTCTGCGAGATCGCCGGCGGGTCCATGCGTGAGCACCGGCTGGACCAGCTCGTGGCCACCATGCGGGCCCGGGGAATGCCAGTACCAGCGGAGCAGGGAGGAATTCGTGACGGCGAAGTAGGCGAAGCAGGCGAGGCTGACGCCTCTTCTGGCGGGCGCAACGGCCTCGACTGGTATGTCGACCTCCGCCGTTGGGGCTGCCCTCCGCACGGCGGCTTCGGCGTAGGCTTGGACCGACTCCTCTGCTATCTGACAGGCGTGCCGACCGTCCGCGACATGGTGGCTTTCCCCCGGTGGTACGGGCGGTGCGATTGTTAACTGCTACGCGGAAGGGGAAAGTGTGGAAGGACACAATGGGCTACGGTCGGCGAACGACGAACCGCCTGCACCAACCGTCCGAACCGCCCGAGCTCGAACACGACTCTCATTGTCCGCTGCAAGTCATTGAGAGAAGCACACAACAGTGGTACAATAGTACAGCATGACAGTCAACAGACAAAGTGACAACATCGACATCACCGTGCCAAAGACAATAGAAGATGCCGTGCATGAGCGCATGTGCAGTTGTCTGGTATCTGTGCGTTGTCTTGCATATATCCCGTTTGACGTGCCTTGGACGACTATCACTTTCTTTTTCACTTTTCACAGCTTCGAGACACCCTCCCCACTTCATCCTTCATCACGCCCAATCTCCTCTCATCTCGCCTCTGGGCAGTCTTGCCAGCTCGCATCTTCTCGCTGCATCGGCGTCGAATACTGCCGAGTGCCGGTCGTCGGTATTTTGTCTTTGATGTCAAGGAATCATGAGAGTCAAGGGAAATTAAAAGAAAAAAGGTGAGACTAAGCCTGCGGTTAACAGGCGCTGTTGGCCACGGTTTCATACGCCGTTGCCTATTTCAAACTCTCTCTTTATTTCTTTGTTTTCGCTGTATCTTTAGACACTTTTTGCTTCTCCGTCTTCTTCTCCGCGCCATCTGCAGTGTCTCTGTACAACAGGTTCGAGAGACACAGACAGGCTGAAACATAAACGACGGGAACGACAGGTAAAAAGCGAGGACAATGACGAAACGACGAGAGGTCGGAAAGAGACAAAAAAAAGAGTTGTCCGAACCGCCCCGAACCTTACGGCCTTATTTCACGGACCACAACACAAAACACACGGCCAGCGGCGCGGCCAGCGGCCAGCGGCAGACGGTCGGCGGCAGACAGCAGAGAATGCAACAGCAGAGAATGCAACTACGTGTATCGTCCTCTGCCGTGGCCTCGAACTGCAGCACGTCGTTGGCTGTCTGCGTATTTTGCCGGCTTTTGTCAACAGAACGGAGCGCTTCAACTCAATTTCTCTCCTATCCTATCCCCATCTGGCCTATGCCAATTTATTCTCTTCCGTTGCGCCTCGTTCCTGCTGTGCAACGTGCGCGGAGACTTTATATGTTCTTTTTCAAAAGAAAGAAAGAAACCTGGATGTAGCACAGCATACAGACAAAAACAAGCGAAAAAAAAAAAACGCCACACTCAAAATGTACCTGTCACGGACGCACGACATGGTCTGTCCGACCTTTGGCATGCCCCGAAAAGGAATCGACCAAAGGGAAGCATTTCCACGGCCGGAACAGGACGCGGCAGCAATCAACGACTCGCGAGCAAGTCGATCGAGAAAACGGATGAGACGGGCGCGGGAGACGGGAAGGAGTTGGGAACTGGACACGATCAGCGACCCCCGAGATCTGACAAGACGCTGGTACTCAGTCGGAATACGGCCAGAGAGGGGAGAAAAGGGTGACTGCATTGCACGAAGCGAGACCTGTGCCACCACAGACGATTGAACGATCCTCAAACAGCGCCAAACAGACCTGTCAGGCATTCGGGGAGGGGGCAGAAGAACACAAACACAGTCGAGACGTTTTGGTATCTCGCATTTTACGCCCGTTGGAGCTGTCGTCTGTTGTGCCCGCTTTCTCCCGTCTACTCTCCATTCATTAGGATGAATGGAGTGCTCGGCGAGTCAGTTCTAGTCAACCATTCTGTCGCCTCCTCTCCTTCTCGTTTCTTTCGGACGAGACGAACCGTTGCTCCTCGCTTATCGAGTGCAAACACCCAGTCCCTTTGCAATTTCGAACTTCCTCACGTGGTCGCGCTTTGTCGGCACCGCACGCGCCCGGGAACAAAGGACCTTTTTTTGTTCGGCGGCAACCAACCGTACGTGCACTGCATCGGCCAACTGTTTGCCTTGATCTTCTCGCCTGGAATTACTATCCAAATCTCCGCTTTCCCGGTTCGGGGCTTTTTGTTCTCTTCTTCTTCTTCTCTCTATTGGGCATGTGCATTTACGCATGCAATTAATATATTAATATATGCCCAAAAGGGATGGGACAAGTGGGCACGGAAGGAAAAGACGGGAGGCACAATAGAGCCTCTTCCGTTCCGCATTTGCTTTTGCATTTGCATTTGCATGTACATACCTCGCCCACTTTCATTACTGTATATTAGACAGCAACCCTTTGGCAATGGAAACCGGCACAGACAGCACCGAAAACAAATTAGAAATGACGACATAACTCTTCTCGGGCAGATGGTCATCGATACATGAAGCAAATATAAAACACTTCGTAGGGACATGCAAAGCGAGGCCGTGCACCATATGCCGTTTGGGGTGTGCTCAGAAAGAGTAATTGAACAAGTGTCCAAGAGTGTTTGTCACAGGAAACGATAGACTCCGTACAGCAGTCACCAACAGCTCAAGCCCAAACGAACCATGGCGACGACCTCATGCAGACCACATCTCACATCTCTTGTTCTTCATGGAGGAGATGTTAAACACCTCGAAACAAAGGGAAACGAGAAGAGGCCGAGTTAGTCAACCAGGTCGTTCAGTCGTCGACTCGAGTGATCGTCTCCGAGAACGCAAGTCCAGAGTCAAGAGGCACAACGGCATGGCATATCCGGGCGTCTTGAACCGATCGTTCAGTACCGTAATTGTAGTTACAGGGAGGACGATGAAGATACGGATTGGCCAAGCGGATGCGGATGCGGATGCTGTTTAGCAATCAACCGCCGTCGGCGGCCTTTCCACGGGAGCAGCTTGCCCTCTGAACGGCCTCGCAACGAGAGACATGGGACGACGCCTCGGATACAGGATGAGCAGCCAACGGTGCCATCGACTGGCGAGGAACATACCAGTAGACGCCCGGTAGCTCCTTTATTCTCTGGGCGTCGACCAGATGGCAAAGGTGAGTGTACGATGTACTGAGGTGGAGTGAGAGACTGCTCACCTCCAGTGGTGGCCGTGCTCGTCTTTCCCTTTCCCCTGATTCAGGGCAAAGGCGTCGTCATCGCCAATTTTAACTCTATCCACGTTGGCGGTTAGTCTTGGACGGCGGACGAGCCGGAGGCCACGACGACGCCAGCACGAATGACGGGGCAATGGCTTGGCATGGTTGCCATAAAACACGCAATGCGCGTCCCATCTTGCTTCTATTTTTGTTGCTCCTTCTCCCTTGTATCCCTCTCTCTCCACGCTGCATCATGGTCGTCGTATGTCCTCCGTATGTCCCTCTGGCGTCTCGCCCTGGCCCCTTTTTTCTGGAATATGGAGTACTTACAATGTACTCGCTTGAAGAGTGTCGTGCATCACATTCACATCACATCTTGCGACGGCAACCTCCGTCTTTTGTGCGGTGCAGTTCATTGCATTTCTGTTCACATGCGCCTTGCAGAGAAGCATCGTTGCTTGCATCTTGGCACAGAGAGCCAGGAAGTGTCAAGAGGAGAACTGTTCACGTTGCATTTCGGTGTCTTCGTATCTTGACGCCCAACTGCGTGGAGTCGTCCTATCTTCTCCTTTTGTCCACCTCCTTGGTCGCTTTCATATGTCCACTTTCTCCAAAGCCTACGGAGTCTATCTACGAAGTACTGATTTCATCTCCAAAGGGATCTTATTTTACTGAAAAGGGGACGAACAAAGGAAGGACACATGGCAAACTGGAGCCCTATTTCGCTTCGTTGAAAGCTTCTGGACATGGCCCAGACTCTAGACCATCCTCTCCGTTACCTTTCCCCTCTCATCTCGATTATCAATACAGACCGCTGAGTGAGCTTCATTTGGTCATCCTCTCCGCCTTTTTTTCTTTTCTTTTTTCTCCAGCACGCAATCCGCATCCACATTCTGAACCACATTTTGAACCAGAGATGACAGTATTTACTGGACAAGGGCGAAGACAGCGGAGTATGGTGAACGGACAGGAAACGGAGAGCATAGAAGCGGAGAACAGAAATCGAAGAACGTAAGCCAGGTCCAGTACGTCGCGTGCTTGAATCACTGCGTCGCACCCACCCTTCAACACAGTTGCCATTCTCATCTTTATCAGCCCAATGTAAAATACGTAGTTGGTCGTACGGAACACCGAGTTAATCTCCATCTCCGTCCTCGCGTTGCAAAAAGGCCGAAGAGTCTAGCCACCATCCCACCTTCCTGTCCTCCCACTGTCCATCACCGTGCATCTTTTGTCTTGGCCTGACGCATATCCTCACGGTTCGCCGTAAGGCGTAAAACTCCATTATGCCCTTACAGATAACAGAGTAGCCCGTGCGACGTAATCACGGTATTTTGTAGCATCGAATATATAGTACAGAGCCTATTTTGCCTCGTGTGTATACACTGTTGCTGCTCCTGGCGATGCATCATGCCAAGAGCTGTGACCGGGTGTATGTCGACTTATCGAGGCCAAGCCCTTGGAGGCAGGCTCCTCTTCCCGGGCCTTCCATTTTGGTGTTATTACAAATAGACGTCATATTTTGTATTCGGAAGAACGGTCTCTCCCTTTCAAATGAACGGCCCGCTAGAGTGGAATAGTAAATTGCAACTGGGCTGTGCAAAGTCCATGTTGCTCGTAATGACCGTATCTATATCTATGCCGTACGACGTTGCTGGATACATCGCCCACACACCATTGCGAACCTTTTCCACGACAGACGTGAAGACGACAAGAACAATCGCACTTTGCATAAAGAGGCAGGCAAGCGGCGAATAACCACAAACGGGAGACAACTCGCTGGATGGATCGGCACTGATTTGCCACACATTGAGCATCATTCGAGGGTAGTTTAGTTGGCTGTTCTGTATATAAAGTATGTTGTATACGCGCAAGGGATAGGGTGCACGGAGCATATCAAGTGATTTATGTGTCGGTCTCATCCAGCATGGAGCATGCCCCATGTTATTGCCGTGCTTCCGTGCGGTTTGGGTGCAGGTTAACAGAGCAAACACACAACCTGACCCAGACGCGCCGGACTCGTGGATGGCACAAGTCTGGTTTGACGCGAGCAATCGCGTTCGGTTCAGCGAGAAAGGAAAATAGACAGAACCTTCTCCGTACGGAAATTGTCGTACTTGTCCAAAGATTGGTTCCAAGATTGGTTCCAAAGACAGGACATGCAAGTCAAGCGTTTTGTTCTTGTTCTGTTCCTTTATTGTTGCGTCTGTCTGCTTGCCCTCTCCGTGATTACGGTGATTACGGCTACGTCTCGTTTCGGTCATTTTTGGCCGATTTTGGTCTGACTCTGAGTCTCTTCTGTTTGTTTGGTGCGCAGTGATCGGGCGCCGGCGTTTTTGTGGATACCGGGCAGCCGAGTGCCGGGTGGAGGGGGAGATCATGGTACGGATATATTACTTCCCTCGTCACGAGCTTGGCGATGACTGAAAACGGGCACACAAGCTGCCAAGACGTTGCACAAATTCAAAGTCAAAAAGCCCATGTAAAATGTGGGCTGCAAGTTGCAAGATGATAATGCACCGTTGCGTGAAGGGCTAATCCGATATTGCCGATCTTATTGTGGTGTGGTGTCATTCTTTCCTTTATCATCACGAGGAGTGTGTTTTGCGTATTCTTGCCTATTTTGCGAAGCTATCGTCTTGTTTGTCGTTTTCATTTTGTTACTACGTGTCGTTTCCACACCTCCGTTTCCGTCGTATTCTTCTTTCTGCGGAAAAGCATAAAAACAAAACATAAATCTACCCCAAAATGTACGCTTTGTCTCCTGTTGCACCTTTAGGTCCTCAACAATAAGCGTCTTCTGTCCGAGGCTAACAAAATAGACTCATCCACCACAGGCTTGGCATTGCTCTTGGCCCGGCACTCCTTTACGACGTATGAAGACTGCAAACTGATGCCACCCCTGGGTCGGCGGGATTGGAAATAAGAAGAGGGTTTCTCCACTAAAACGAGGAGGCCGCGTCAGCTCGTGGAGGGAGGGAGGGGTGGACCCAAAGTTTAAAAATCAAAAAACAGTGGAGGGGAACCGCGAGCAGGAAAATACACAGCTGGCAATGTGGAATTAAGTCGCAGCGTCGTCTCGTTTGGGTCACTTTATTGAAGCAGAGGAGCATGTTTTCTTTTGGGTTGGTACGGTTTTAGTTTTTTTTTTTTTTTTTTTTTTTTTTTTTTTTTACATGTATTTCTTTTTCAATTTTCCTTCGTGCTAACTCTTCTCAAAAGTTCTGGTCTGCATCCACTACTCAACCCAAAATAGGATGCAAATTTCGAGACGAGCAACCCCTAAAACTGATGACCAAGAGAGAAAACTCCGTTCCAACAAGCAAAAACCACTGCGCCGCCCCTGCTTACCTGCTTACCTGCTCACCTGCTCACCTGCTCACCTGCTGGCATGCCTCCCCGTTCTGGATGCCCTCTCCTGCATCCCTTGTTCTGGGCCTGTTGGATGGGTCGATCACACAAAGACAAACCTTATTTTTTTGCACGACACAAAAATTGCTGACGGGAGTGCGGCGGGTGACAACAAAGGCGTCTGTCTGGATAACACGCGGAGG